CTAAATTTACTATTGTCTACCAAGAACAACCTGGACAACACTTTTCAGTTTTTCCTTGTATTTTCTCAGAAAGGAACTCAATTGCCTTGCATGGCAGACTATGGTATAATAATAAAATGATGATAACCATAAAATCTACATTGCCACTGGTACTTGAGGGCTTACTGTGTACTGTGCTCTGTATGCATTGTTTCTACTTTATTCTCACAGAAATTCTATGAAAAGGGCACTAATATTTTTCTCCATTTTATGGATAAGAAGATGAGGATTAGAGAATACATTGCTCAAGGCCTCATATGTAGTTTGTGGCAGAGCCAGGAATCCAGCTGTGTCTTACTCTTGAGCCCTGTCTTTCAAATCCTTACACTGCCTTGCCTCCTGCAGCCTTATCTGGGAATGGTCCAAAGGAGTTGGCTTCCATCCTCCTGAAATTCCAGGATGGCACGGGGCTGGGCTTGTATTCCCTTTTCCTGCTTCCTGAACACTGTGCTAATGTTTTATTAGTAGGAAAGACGAACATCTTTTATCGTACTTAGTTAATTTTTAAATTCTCAGTTAAGTTAAATTATCGAAGTAATGCATGGTCACATTAAAAATATTAAAACCAAGACAATGAGTATAAGGTGAACAATCTTAGTCCTGTTCCCCCACAATTCCCCACTCATACTGCCTGTACAAGACCATCCTTGACAGGTTCTATATTCTTTTCCAGAAATTTTATATGTATATGCAAATATACATACACATGTGTTCTTAAAGTAAGTAGATGGCAGATGGGTCTCTATTCCTGTAACTTGCTGCTTTTTTTTTTTTTTTTTTTTTCTTTCACAGTGCTGGGGATTAGACCCAGGGCCTCACTCATGCTAGGCAAGCACTCTACCACTGAACTACCCCATCAACCCTGTAACTTGCTTTTTTATTTAAAATGTGCTTTGGAGAGTTTTCCATAATGATAGATGAAGGTTTTACCTCATTCTTTTATTTTTTAAAATAATATACTGTTTTTAAATTCTTTTTAATTGACAAAGTTATATATTTATTATATACAACATATTTTTAAATATGTACACATTGTGGAATTGCTAATTGAGCTGATTAACATGCATTACCTCACAGTTTCTCTTTTTTGTTGTTGTGAGAACACTTAAAACTTATTTTTCTGGCAATTTTCAAGATTATAATACATTGTTATTAACTGTAGTCAACCTATTGTACAATAATTATTCTTTTTAAAACATTAATATCCCCTTAAGTTGCTATGATTTTGTTTTATTTATCTAATTTGGCCCCTATTGATTAATATTTAATTTTTTCCATCTTAAACATATTACAAATGATGTTGCACATAAATTTTGTTTTCAAAGTATCCAATCTTGCAGCAAGCAAGATACATAAGATATAAATATAAAATTTCTATAGGAAAATTTCAAGAAAATAGTGTTGCTGAATTGAGGGATATATGCATTTCAAATTTTGTTACATATTGCCAAATTATCCTACAAAAAGTTTGCATCAATTTATAGTTTCATACAATTTATAGTGTGTGAGGAGGCCTTTTATCTTGTAATATGACTATTTCAAAACTTTGAGACCTCTTTCAACTATGGAAAGAGGTGCTTTCTGTGTGCTTTAAACATTGCACTAGGCTTTGGAACTTGAAATGCATACAGTGTAGCTAGAGGAAGATTTGTTGGTGAATTACCATTCCTTTGGGACCAAGAGCTTCTACTCTTAGAAACTGAAACTGCAAGCTAGTAAGGTATTTAGTTTCAATTTAGCTTAATGGAAACTGTTAGTGAGTTTTAAAATAAAGACCAAGACAACTGAAATGGCAGATAAAGTCTCCTGGGCCCCAAGAAGGAGGATACAGTGTCTGTGGGTTTACATGCTTCGAAGAGCCCCTCTTTCCAGGAACAATCCTGTTTCAGCCTTGAATTATTTGGTGGAGATGTGAGCTTCTGAAGACTTTAGTCATTCCTAGGGTGGGTGCTTCTTAGTAGGCAAAGGGCCACACAGATCCTGTGTGGCTGAGGGCAGAGCAAGATCTATAAATGGGAATGTAATGATGCCAGCCATCATTTATTTGGCATGAATTCTGGCGAGGCACTATAGTATGCACTTCATGTGCAACTCATTTAATCCTCATGACAAGCCTGTGATTGTCTGACAGTGAATTGTTTTGAAGATAAGGATTCAGAGAAGATAAGTAACTTGCCTAGCCTAGGATCATACAATTAGCAGGCAGGACAGTAGACACTCAAACCCCAGGTATGGTTGACTTCAAAGTCCATACTTGGGCTTCTTGATTCCAAATAATCACATGCTCAGTTTAAAAATATCATATCTTCATGGTATGGAACAGCTCAAGAATTTTTTTTAGGACTGGAGTTGTAGCTCAGCAGTAGAGTGCTTGCCTAGCATGTGTAAGGCACTGGATTCAATCCTCAGCACCACATAAAAATAAAATAAAGTATATTTTTATAAAAGGGCTAAGGATAAGAGTCAGTAGTTGAACACCCCTGGGTTCAATCCCTGGTACCAAAAATAAAAATAAAAAATATTTTTTTATCTCCTTATTTATTTCTAATGTATAGTCAGAGATTAACAGGTCTCTTTTATTGTTCAGTATGAACCAAAAACTCATGAACCAAAACAGTGCTGGTAAATGCCAAGTGAGTGGTAATAATCAACTCTTAGATTGACTAGAAATTTTGTTTTCAAAATATCATTCCATGGATCATATCATTTGGTGTGAGCAATTTTTAGTAGCCTTGTCTTTAAAATGAAACCAGCCCGGCGAGGTCATGCAAGCCTATAATCCCAGTGACTCAGGAGGCTAAGGCAGGAGGATTTCAAGTTCAAAGCCAGCCTCAGCAACATAATGAGGTCCTAGGCAACTTAGTGAGACCCTGTATCAAAATAAAAAGAGCTGGAGATGTGGCTTAATGATTAGGCACCCTTGGGTTCAATGCCCAGCCCCAAAGTAAATAAATAAATAAGAGGGGAATATTTTTACCTACTTGGCAGGGAGGCTCTGAAATTGGCGTATAATGACTGTCTAGTGTCCAGTAGTGTGCCTGGTCACTAGTGAGTGCAGCTGGGGATGGTGATGATAGTCAACTGGTCTCTGCCTATCCCTTTGCTTTCTTGTTCCTTCTGCAGATTGTGCCTGCTAAATAGACTTTAGACATCTATTTTTGATGTATAACTGCTATAAATGAGAATGTCTCTTGTTAGCTGTCAAATTCTCTTTCAGCTCCTATCCACAGCTTTCCAGACTTCTTTGGAATCTACTCTCTGTCCTTTGGCTTCCTCAAGTGTCTCAAGATAGGCTGAATGGGGCTGTATTGAGGGTTGGGCCAAGCTAGGAGGGATATTAACCTAGTAATCATCCAAGAGTGTGCTAAGCCAAAGAGGTAGTCTAGGACTGTATCTAAAGAACAGGGTGGTTAGGCGGGCTCATTGGTATACACCTGTTATATTAGTGACTCAGGAGGCTGAAGCAAAAAGGATTATGAGTTCATGGCCAGCCTGGATAATTTAGTGAGACCCTGTCTCAAAATAAAAAAGCACCACTGGGGTTAAATCCCCAGTTCTGGAGAAAACAAAGCAAAACAAAACAAAGGGCTGGGGTTGTGGCTAGTTGTAGAGTACTTGCCTTGCACACGTGAGGCACTGGGTTTGATCCTCAGCACCACATTAAATCAATCAATCAATCAAACAAACAAAAGTATTGTTTATGTTCAACTAAAAAAATTTAAAAAAAAAACAAAAAATGTGGTTAAAGACCAAAAGGGTATCTTCAAAGGGTAGATGGACTCATGAAGATATTGACCTGACAGAGGGTGTTAATTGTGACATCATGGCTAATCATGGTAATATTAAAGAAAGGAAGCAAGACGTTTGGCCTGGAGCAGTGAAGATGACTGAGGAAAGAAGTTCTATGAACATGGCAAAAGAGAGATGTTTTATGTGGGCAGCTCCTCCTAGCTCAGCCATCTCTTCTTCTCTCACCTGCCCAAGACTCAGGGGCCTATCTCACACCAGACATACAGGATCAGTCTCCCTGCTTACATGGTTCTTTCCTATATAAACTTAGGGAGAATTGTAAGTGAGTCAGTGTGGCTGTGGGAGGAAAAGAGTAGGAAAGAGGTGGATGACATTGTAGGGAGCTTGAACTTTATCTCACAACTAAGATGGAGGCTTTAAATCAGGAAAGTGGCATGATCAGATTCATATTTTATTATTTTTTTTTTAATATTTATTTATTTTTAAGTTTTAGGTGGACACAATATCTTTATTTTACATTTATGTGGTGCTGAGGATCGAACCCAGTGCCTCATGCATGCTAGGCGAGCACTCTACCACTGAGCCACAACCCCAGCCCCCAGATTCATATTTTAGAAAGATCATTTAAAGATAGTGATTAGAAGTTTGGCTTCAAGTCCTGGTCAATTTTAGGTCAGTTGCTTGATCTCTCTATGCCTTGATTTCCTCATCTGTAAAATAGGAAAAATGACAGAGGATAGTTGTAAAGATTAAATGAGATAATGCTCATAAATAGTTTAGTAATTGACTGGCTAGTAAGTGCTCCATAGCTCAAAATGATGATAGTGATACAGTTATTAAATTGGGAAGAAATTAGAGACAGGAGGTCAAATGTGATTAGGTAAAAGACAGTAAGAGCCTGAATTAAGGGGGATATAAATGAACTGGATAGTTAAGAAATATATTGAAGAAATATAATTGTTAGACTTTGAAATAAATTGCTAATGAGAGGATAAAGATAGGCATCTTTAATGAGTCCTGTTTCCAACCTGAGTCACTAAGTAGATGGTGTTGTACTTGAATGAGATAAGGAATACTGGAGGAAGTGGCAGTTTGGGATGAAAAAAAAAGAACATAGTGAGATTGGATTTTAAGATGTTGAGTACCCTGTGATCATGAGGTATTGGGTCTTAAACTATGAAATAGATTTGAGCTCTATCATAAGGTAGAAGATGAAGGTATGGGTGGGGGAAAGAGCACCTTGGGGCAGTACGTAGAATAAGAGGATCCACGGGTCAAACATATATCTGTGGAGGGAGAGGCCAGATGTTCCAAGGAAACATTGGAAAGACTGGTGACATGGAAAGGAAGGTAGAGGAGAAATTTCAAAAAGGAGGGAGGGAGAACTCAACAATGTCAAATCCTGTAAAAGAACTGAGAAGTGACCACTAGTTAGCGGTGTTGTTACCAGTGCCCTTTATAAGAGTAGGTGAACATATCCAAGTGCTAGGCTCTATGCTAATACTAACGTTGAATAAGAAACAGTTCCTGCCTTCAGGGCACTCAACTGAAATCTATAACAATAGAAAAATGCTCAACTGTGAAGGAGTTCAGGCTGGGAAATCAGTTATCCCATTGATCACCAGGATTAATTTGTCTGCTATGGCAGGCTGGGTAGATTTTCTCTTTCTTCCTCACTCTTTTATTGATATCTCCCTTGGTCAATGAGAATAGCCTGCCCAAGAGAAGAGGGCTTTCTTTGGTCAATAGTATAAGAATAGTGAGCCTCCCATGCTGGAAGTTTCAAGCCACCTTTCATATAGACTGTAGTATTATGCTTCTTTTCATAATACTGTGTCACCTTTTGGAGACCCAAACCCAGAGACAAGAGAGCATGTGTTTGAAGATAGATTTGATTCTTAATCTCACTACAGTCAGTTCTTGTGGTGGTGATGAAAGGTGGGAAGGAACCTGCTCAAGTTGAGAAAAGAAAAAGTAGAAGGATATAGGAGGAAGATGGTAAGATGTCAGGAAAAGTTAGATAAAGGATGAACAGAGGCTAGCTAGTTGGGTAAGTTTTTGTTAGGCAGAAGTAGCAGGAGCAGGAGGGGGAAGGGAAAGGTGGCATTCCTGGCAGGAGGAATAGCCAGATGAAAACTTGGGAAAATGAAGAGGTGAAAGTTTCAAGCCAGGCTCAGGGACTGAGTAGCCTTCCTGAATTGCACCTCAAAGCCCTAGCACATGACTGGGAGAGCAGGCTGGAATGGGGACTTGAGGCCAGATGATAGAGTTCTGAGGACCTGGGGAGGGAGCTCGGGCTTTCTTCTTCTGTGGTTTGACGGCTTCTGGGAGGAACCATCAAAAGCTTTTTAGGAATTCAGGCTTGTCTGTCTCAGGCTTCTTCTTTCTGGAAGACCAAGGGCCCAAAGTGGCAGCCTGACATTCAATCTCCTTTGCCATGGTTGGGAAGTCAGGGCTGTAGCTGATTTCATTGGCCTGTTTTGCATTTATTATAGTGTGGCTTTTATAGTGTGTTAATTGAAATATTTCCAACTGCCAAAAACAATTACACTCAAATTGCCTTGTCAGTTCTTTTATTGCCAGATAAATGTTTTACAGACATATTTACAGGGGGCAGTAGTAACTGGATCTCATTTTCTATTTAAGGCTGAGGATTTGGGCTGGGATTGGCCCTCCAGTGCTCTGTTGTGGGCCGGAAAGCTGGTGGACATTGCAACGCTTCCATACCGTTACCTTAGGGATCAGTGGCTCTTCAAAGGAAAGAGTTTTCTGGCTCCTGTGGCAAAGCCTCAAGAGAAGGGTTCCCATCACTGGAAACCTTGGAAACCTGGCAGAAATCCGAACTCAGCAACAATTCCAAGCTGAGATATGTTTTCTTTTCCCTTGAAACCCTTTTCCTCCCTTCTACCATCCAAGCCTCTCCCACAGAGCCTATTGTTATACGGCTGTAAGAGCCCATTGCTCTAACTCTTTCTCTTTACATTTGCAAAACTGAGGCCCAGAGACTTCCCCAAGATCATACAGACAGTCAGTGACAGAGCTGGGAGCAGAGGTCTCTTTCCAAGTGCATTCTGCCACAAACATGTTCCCATTGACTTGTATTCTGGTGCCTTGACCCTTCCTTCAGTGCTCTAAGCCTGCTTCTTCCAAGGCCCCCTCCCTAATATCTCCACCCCACACTAAGTCCCCTCATGCTTGATATCTAAAATATCTCTTTGATATATATATATATATATATATATATATATATATATATATATATATATATGGTTTTTGTTTGGTGACTCTGTTACTGTTCTTCTTCTGCCTTTGTACATGCCATTTATGCCTTCTGAAAATGCATCTTGTCCTTTGATACCCAACTAAGAAACACCACTTCTGGAAACCTTTCCTGAGTACCCAAAGCTGGAGAGGTACCTCTGTGCTGTCCTACAGCAACCTGTGCACACACATCCCATTGCTGGCACAGAGCCACCTTTCAAGGGAACTTATGCTGAATGAATGACTGATGAGCACTGATCACACTCATCTGCCCTCCACAGAGCCAGCGCAAACTTTGTCTTTGTCCCACTGCTTAGGTTAGTGCCTGACACATAAATAGATACTCTCCAAATGTTTAATGAGTTGAATTGAGCATGCTACTTGTATTAGCTTTTTGTCACTGTACAAAATACCTGAAGCAGGCTACTTTTGGAAAAAAGAGGTTTATTTTAGCTCATTGTTCTGGAGATTCAAGGGCATGGCTCTTGCAACAGCTCCACTCTGGTGAGGACCTCATGGCAGATGACAGAGCTTGTACAAGAGAAGGATCACATCTTGAACCAGGAAGCAGAGAGGGAGGAAGGGGCTAGACTTGCTCCTTGTATAACCACCCACTCTGAGGAACTACCAAGAGGTCAGGGAACTACCTTAATCTCTTTTGTGGTCATTTCTCCAATAACCCAAGGATTCCCCACTGGACCTCACCTCTTAAATGTACCATCACCTCTTCATATCATTGCCCTGGGGACTAGAACTTCAACCCATGAACATTTGGAGTACACTCAAACCATATCCAAACCACAGCACTACTCTTCAGAACTTAAAATTTTAGCATGTTAAAACTAGAGCTGGGCGCAGTGGTGCACACATATAATCCCAGAAACTTTGGAGGATGAAGCAGGAAGATCACATGTTCAAGGCCAGACTTAGCAACTTACCAAGACCCTGTCTCAAAATAAGAAAATCAAAAAGGGCTGGGGATGTAGCTCAGTGGCAAAGCAACCCTGGGTTTAATTCCCAGTATCAAAAAGAAAAAAGAAGAAAGAAAAAAGAAGAAAAATAAATGCCCAGTGCTAAATTACTAATAACATTCTTCATAGGTAATCCCATTGAGTCTGAAATGGTTGCCTCAGATACAGGACCTCCTTGGCTGGGCTAAGAAATACATGTGGCCACTGAGAGTGGCCCTGGAACTGTTCTTGAGACTTGGGAAAGCTCAATATCCTTGAGATCCTTGGGTAAAAGGACCTGTAATATGTTTATGATATTCTCATGTCAGTTTGCTTGTGACTTGCCTTCTGTTTCTGTTCTTCTTTCAGAGCCTCAACATGGGCAGAGGAACCAGGAAGAAAGTAAGTGCTTAGTTCACCACAGTATCTTAGCAAGATGCTAATGGCATTTTTTTCCTTATTGAATATTGTCTACATATTTTTAGAAAATTCAAATAAGCTAGAAGATTAAAATTACCCTTAAGCCTACAACCCTGGGATAACCTTTTATTTAATCTGTTGTGTTATATTTTCCCAGAAATTTTTATGCATATATAAAATTACATGTATTTATTTTTAAGTGGAATTAAACTGTTTTATTTTATAACCTGTTTTTCACACAAAAAATATTTAGAGTATCTTCCATTGCTAATATACTTTTATAGCATCATTTGAAATTACCACATCATATTTTATCATATGTTCCTTAGGGCCATCCCATAATTTGTTCAGCCATGCCTCATTGATGAATATTTAGATGTTTCTTCCTTTTCACTATTATTATCAATTATCTTAACAAATGTTCATGTACTTAAACCTTTAGGCATGTCCTTTGTTATTTCCTTAATATAAGTTCTACAGGTAGAAATTTGGGTCAAATAACATAGTTATTAGGCTTTGGGAAATATTTCCAAGTTGCTTTTGAGAATGATGTGCTAATTTATGGGTGCCTGCTTTCTTATAACATTGCCAGTTCTGAATGCTAGTTTTGATTTGTTGACTTAGTTTTCCAATTTTATAGTGAAGAAATGTATTGTTTTATTTAGCATGTCTTTTCTTGTTAGTGAGGGTGAACATCTTGAAAAAATATGTCATGGTCATTTTGGCAAGGTGTTTGTCTATCAGGGAAGGCAAAACTTCTAGTCCTTTATTTTTGGCTTAAAGTAACCAAATACCAGAGAATACTGCTTTAAGAATAACCTTAAAGAGGAAAGGAGGAAGGGAAGGAAAGAAGAAGAACAGAGGATTAAAATCAAGCAAACTATGTTATACTTACTTATGTATACATTGAAGTGAACTCCACTATCGTGTATAATTATAATACACTAAAAAAGAAAAGATCAAACTTAAAGGTGGTATATTAGAAGGTCTATTATAAATTAGAATGGAAATAGCTTGTATAACAGCTTGGCATCCTTTCTGGATGTCTAAGCCACTTTTCATAAAGCCCTGCCTCGACATCTGCTCCTGGACACCTCCAAGGCTTTAGGGAGAGCAGGAGGGAGGAGCCATTCCTTCAGGTACCACTACTTGGGCCAAAGGTCCATCACAATGTTCTAGCTAAGCCCTAACCCTCTAGGGTAGAGGTGGCTATGATCTTCAAGACAGAGTGAACTCTGGACTGAGAAATTCTTTGGGACTCTTCCATGAGTGGTCGGTTGCACATTTTATACATTATGTTCAATGGGCAAAGCTTGATTTCTGGGAGGATTTGTCAGTTAAGGGGTTTTCTGCAGCATTATTTGCTTGCCCAAGCAGATTAGGTGCTCCTAATGCTCATATGAGGTTTTTGTCCAGGATGAAGATTCAGGGACTGAAGTGGGAGAAGGGACAGATGAATGGTCCCAGTCTAAAGCCACAGTTAGACCTCCTGACCAGCTGGAGTTAACAGATGCGGTAAGAGAGTAGCTTCTTATCCTTGTCCCTTCCACTTCCTCCATCTTCAGAGATATGTTCTTCCACAGTACAGATTAGAAACCCGCACAGAACCTGGGCATGAGATGTCTGCTGGTACCCTGGGCGGCCCTAAGCCTGAGAGGGATCCCCTGGAGGGATCTTCATGTTTGACCCTTTTGGTATTTCTTTCCCTCAGGAGTTAAAAGAGGAGTTTACCCGGATCCTGACAGCCAACAACCCACATGCACCCCAGAATATTGTCAGGTACAGCTTCAAAGTAAGTCATCCCCTCCTGGACACAGCCTCTAGATCTCCTTGGAGTGTTAGTGACTTGTCACACTGCAAAACCCTCTTCTTGGCTCTTTGGAGATTGCTTTTAAACAGGTTCTTGGCTGAAATCCTGGAATTTTGCATGGAGTTTTCCAGAGATTTAAAAAATTTCTTTATGCATCTCCCTTGCAGTCTAATTGCAGTGCCTTAAGTGCCCTGCAGAGTCAACTTTTTTCAAGAATCTTTAAATGAATATTTAGTTAGAAAAACACTTTTCCAATAGATGGGACTATTGGAGCTTTAGAAGCTGAATTTTCTTCTAGCCAGACACCTGGGTAGAATATAGATCCACCTCTGGACAAGAAAAAGCTGATCTCCCTCATCCCCCCTGCAACCCTGTCTCTTAACATCACAACCAAGCAAGCAGGTAACCCATCAGGGCCTTCCTTTATTACCATGTTGTGGGCAAGTTCTTAGTTGGTAGATACATCTGTGGCGTGTCTTTATGGTAGACAACACTGTTTTCAGCTAGAGTAAGGTCAGCTCCTGTGAGTAGAGACCAAAGAGAATTTCAGAGTACATTTTGAACTAAAGTAGAAGTGATGCCTATTTTTTTAAATTTCATTTTCATGCTTACTGTGTCCAGTGTCAGATTCTATATTAGAACTTTTATATAGGTTATCGTATATTATATGCTTTTCGATACAGGAACTACTATTATCTTTATTTTATGGAAACCAAAGTTAAATTAGATAAAATTAATTACAAAAATCACACAGTCAGGATTCAAAGCAAGATTTGAACCAGTTTGTTTGGCTCCAAAACAGCATTACGTTGCTTCTTTAAAATTTTTTTAAGTGTACAAAGTTTTGAATGTATAATAGAAATTCATAGTACAAATTTCAAAAGAGTCAAAACACACTGAAAATATAATGAAAATTGAATCTTCCTCTATCTTTTTCCCTGGAGATAACAATAATGTCTTTCACTAGGCATAGTTGCATATACCTCCAATCCCAGCTACTTGGGAGGCTGAGGCAGGAAGATTCCAAGTTTCAGGATAGCCTAGGAAATTTAGTGAGACCCTGTCTCAAAATGAAAAATATAAAACAAAACCAAAAAATGGTGGAAGATGTATTTCAGTAGTTCAATCCCCAGTACTAGGGGAAAAAACAGAGCAATAGTTTCTTTCTTTATCTTTTAAAACAGTTCTTTTGAGGTATGGTTTATATTCCATAAGATTCACTCGTTTAAAGTATACAAGTCAGCAGCTTTTAGCATATTCACAGATTGTGAAACTTTTGACATGATCATTTTAAAACATGTTTATTTTCCCTGAAAGAAACCCCTCAACTGTTAGCTGTCAATCCCCAGTTCTCCATCACTTCCAACCCTGGACAATAATGAACTATTTTCTGTCTCTATAGATTTGCCTATTCTGGAAATTTCATATAATAGAATAATACAATATGTGGACTTCTGTGACTAGCTTCTTTCATTAAGCATATTGTTTTTCAATTCATTCATGTTATACCATATGTCAGTACTTCATTTATTTTTATTGCCAAATGATATTCCACTGTATGAATATACTGCTTTTTATTTATCCACTCATAAGTTGATTGATGTTTAGATTTTTACTACTTTTTGACTAATGTGAACAATACTGCTACGAACATTTGTGTACAAGTCTTTGTGAAAATTTTCTTGAACACACTGTTTCTTATTCAGCCTGTGTAGTCAACCCCTCCACAAAAAGTTTGCTACAAATCCAGACATGTTTCTTGAAAGGTGCTGGTTCATGAGTTTTGCTAATGGCTTCGCTTGGACAACCTGCAAATGTCAAAGGGAAGCTGTCTTACCTTCCCTGATGTTATGCTGGAGTATGGTGCAATCTCTGGGTTCCTGTCCTGACATTAGAGTCCCTCTAGGACTCAGTGAGCTGGCCATGGTAGTCATGCTATAGGTGAGGACTGGTGCTGCCTTGTTGGTTTCAATGCATCCCTTTTGCCCCTCTTTTGAGGAAGTTCACTTCACCCAACCTTCCAACAGCCTATTCCTGCCTGGCATCCTTTCACAGAGCTGGTCTTGAGAGATCCCAGAGCTTTAGGTTTCCAAAATTGCTACTTTCCCTTGATGGGCTGGAGAGAGGAGGAAGATGGTTCTGATCCAGGCATGCCTCCCCTCCTTTCAGAAGCACTGGAGTCTGAATTCCATTTCTAAACTGAAGGGAAAAGTCCCAGTCAATGGGAACAGGGCAGAGAGGAAGCCTCAAATGACAATTATAAGGATAATTTATTCCCATTGTGTGTTAGTCAGCTTTGCGTCATTGTGACCAAAATACCTGACAAGAACAACTTAAAAAAGGAAAGTTTATTTGGCTCATGGTTTTGAAAGTTCTTAGTACACGGTTAGGCAACTCCATTGCTCTGGCCTGAGATGAGGTAAAACATCATGGCAAAAGGTCATGGTGGAGAAAAGTTTGCTGATGGCAGCTGGGAAACAGAGAGGGAGAGAAAGAAAAGGACTGGGGAGAAAAGAAACCCAGAGTACATCCTCAGTGACCTACTTCCTCCAACTAGGTCCCACTTCCCAGTAGTTCATTCGGTTACCAATAGATTAATCCACTGATGAGATCAGAATCCTCATGATATAATCATTGCCTAAAACCCCACCTCTGAACATTGGGACTTTGGGGGACATTCCCTATCCAAACCATAACACACGGGCACCTTCATCATCATAATAATAGTTACCATTTTTATTGAGCATAATATTATTGAACATTGAACATAATATTACTATGTGTCAAGCACTGAGACATAAGTATTGAGCTTTTACTATGTGTCAGACTCTGAGACATAATGATGAAAAATTATTTTCATTATTTTCAATACTTACAATATCTTGCAAATTAGATATCATTATCTTATTTGTTATATGAAGAAAGTAGGGTTTAGAGTTGTTAAGCCCAAGGTTATACATATAATAAGGAGCAGACTAAGGATTTGAACCCAATTCTGCCTGCATCCAAAGACCAGGCTCTTACTCACTAAGTTAGTGATACAGGAAGAACTCCATGGTGACTTTCTAAGACAGAGCCTTCCAACCTATGTGATCAGAACATTCCAGCTCTCTGGGGACAGATAGGTCTGGTACAACTGGAACACATGGGCTGGTTTCCTCTGCGGTGAGTTTATCCCAGTGTGCCATACAAATATAATTATTTTCCATATGACTTGAAAAGGAGACTCTTATCTCTAATTGAATTTTAGTGGTTGCTAGGATGCTGATCAGTGAGGGTGAATCTATAGGAACTGCACTATAGGCTCTATGCAAACAGGAATAGCGTCTGCTTTTGCTCAGCTTTTAACCTTGGGCATCTTACGGATATAACATTCTTGGCACATTTTGGCAGCTCAAAAATTATTTGTTGAGGGCTGGGGTTGTGGCTCAATGATAGAGCGCTCACCTTGCAAATGTGAGGTGCTGGGTTTGATCCTCAGCACCATATAAAAATCAATAAAATAAAATAAAGGTATTGTTTCCAACTACAACTAAGAAAAATTTTTTAAAAATTATTTGTTGAAGAGTGAATGAACCAATGAAAATGTTTAAAGCTTGGTATAACTTTGTTGATCCCACCCCCCTCCACCACCAAAAAATAAAGGAAGAATGAATGAATGCCAAGATTGCCTGGGATTTAGGGCTTTAAGCTTAATCCTGCTTCTCATTTACCATATGCCCTGGACAAATGTCAAACCTAAACCTTCTGCGGATCTTTGTGCTACTCTTGGATGGAACCAGGAGGATCAGGGATTTTGTTGTCTCTGACCATCTATCCAGCTCTGGCATCCACTAACGTACAGTGGAGAGAGGGCCAGGCTGTGTCATTTGATGATTATCTGACTGCCCAGAGTCTGTTTGAGGCAGGTGAACTGGGATCACTTGCATGGATATAGGAGATAAGAAAATTGAGCCAGTGACAGGTAAATGTGGAGCTATTTCAGGTTGGAAAGAGAAGGTATTTGAAAATAAGTCTTTGAGGAGAACTTTCAAAAATACCTAATTTTATTTGACTCCTCTTCTTTAAGCTGAAATGCTGTGAAAACCTCAGGCTAACTGAGTTACATTTTGGTGAGTTACATTTCCTGAATATCTTAAAGAATGAAGGCAAACTACATTCTAACAATAGCCCCATTGGGGACCTTGGTCTGACTCAGCCCCTTCTTCTTCTTAGGAAGGAACATATAAACTTATTGGCTTTGTGAATCAACTGGCAGTTCACTTCAGCCAGGTTGGGAACCTTATCCCCAAAGATTCAGATGAAGGACGACGGCAGAACTATCGTGATGAGATGACGGCAGGTAGGATTCTAGACCAACCTGAGGCTGCAACCCTAAGTCTTATCCCTTTTCTCTGGTTACCGTGAGGAATTGATCCCTATGATGGAACATACAGAGGGTCTTCTTAGATGAGAATTCATACATGGCTGACCTGAATAGGCCTGGGAGCTAATCCATGATACTTAGGCCAAGGAGAATTCAAGAAACAGGCAAGGTCTGAAAGGCAAGAGCCACGAAGACCTTTCCTGCTAGGGACTGGGGGAGCAGGCCTGGTCTAGGAGCTCATTGGAAGTATCCTATCAAGGTTCACAGGAGTCCGTCAAGGTGGTGCTTTCAGACACAGAAAACCTTGAGGAAGATGAAGAGCCCAAGGAAGCAGAAGCTGAAGCTGAAACTGGGAATCAAATAGATGTGCCTACAGTTGAAGTATGGATTATGTTGCTCTCTACCCCGCCAATTCCAGCTCAGGCTGTGGATGGAGGCTTCGGGGTGACTTGGGGTGGAAGGAGGGAAGCTGAAAGTGAGAAGTTAGAGGCTACAGGGGCCAACATATCTGGCAGTATCCTTTCTCCCACCTCCCTCCTATCCCAGGACAGGGTCTGCCTTTCTGAATGCCCCCACCTTCCTTTCACAACTGAGTCCTGGTCCTCTGGGTCTTTATTTCCAGGCAGTTGAAACAGTACCTGAAGAAGAATTGATGACTCCTAGGCAGCCCAAGGAGCGGAAGCTCACTAACAAGTTTAACTTCAGTGAGAGAGCCTCACAGACCTTCAACAACCTTCTCCGGGTAGAGCCCTCACCATAGTCCCTTTATTTTTAATCTCTGTGCTGTTTGTGGCAGGGAAGAAGCAGGCCTGACCCCAGTTTAAGCAGCCCTCAGCTTGGCAGGACTGATAGGGCAGACACAGTTGATTTCTTCAAGGAAAGCTGAGAGCACCTGTTCAAGTCCTTGTAAGCCATCCAAGCAGTTCGTAGAGAGACAGGAGGCTAGAGCCTCCAAAACTCCACTGAGAGGTTTGAAACTTTGGCTGAGATTTGAAGAGAGAGAGATAGAGATAGAGGTAGATAGATAGATAGATAGATAGATAGAGAAATTAGAAGCCGGGGAGAAGAGAGGAGGTCATAGTATGCCAGGGGGTAGGCAGCCAAGGAACCAGTTCCTCTGGAGTTGATGGTCTTTGGGGTAGAACAATTGGAAGAAGCATGAAATTTCCAAGGTAACTTGTAAGTATGGGGGATCCTGATAACTAGGCTGTGGGAGCCTCACATGACTTTAGGTGAGGGCAGTGTTTTACAGAAATGAATCTGTGGTGGAGCATGAGGTCTGTAGGGTAAGATTTTGAAAGTACTTCATCACTCTGGTCCCTATGCTGACATTGGGAAATTTGGGTGATATATAATGGGAAGAGAGTGGCTTCTCCTGGTGGAGCCAGACTCCATTATTAGGGAGAAGCCTTCTTAGGGCAAGAGATATTCCTCTGGGTCCATGGGAGGCTGACCTCTATGCCCTGTGACTGGAGTGTGGCAGTGAGCTGGCTTCTTGTAGATCTGTCCACCACCAGTTGGAGTTTATCTTGGTTAAAACTGGCACAATCAAGCTTCACTGACTTTACTTTCTAGCTGAGACCTCTTCTGAAGGAGGCCAGAATGGAAAAAATGTGGGCTTTGTATGTATCATTCAATTCTTTGCCCAAGTTTCTCTACTTCCCCAGCTATGTCCTACTCCTTCTTGAGATCTGACCAAAATGCTTCTCCCAAAAATGTATTGTTAAGTAGTTGAGGGCTTTCTGTGGGTTTCCTGTTGTCATTGTTCTCTAGGATAGAGATTGCCAGATGGAGCCTCCTCCCAGGACAAACTTTTCAGCCACAGCCAATCAGGTAAGACCCTGGGCCAGTCTGAAATCCATCACCACCTCCAGTCCCATGCATCCTCATCATGCTCAGCAGCAAAGGAGACTGGCCTGGCTAAGGACTCCTCTGGGGCTGGGGATATAGCTCAGTTGATAGAGTGTTTGCCTTGCATTCACAAGGCCCTGGGTTCAATCCCCAGTAACACACACACACACACACACACTCCTCTGGCGGTCATCCTCCACCTCCCTGTTTATTGTCATAAGCATCCAGTCTATGAACACCAGACACGTGAGACAGTAGTAGGTCTCTCCCAAATGAGCTCTGGACTCATCATGTGCTCCCAGGGCAATGCTACCCAAAATAGAAATGAGTGTGCCTTCTGGGGCTTCTTCCAGGAATGGAGGAGAACTAAAGAACTGTTGTTCCTATGAACTCTGGAGTCCATGGCTCCTTGCAGCTGACTCTGGAGTATTAGCACTCTGAGTCTGCCCTCCCAGCAGCCTATAGCATTCCTGCAGACCCTTCTCCTTCCCCCTCAGTGTGTGGGTAAGACATGGTGCTAGAGGACCTGAACCATTCAGGCTCCAATTTTGCTGTTCCAGTAAGATCCTGAACAAACCATGCCTCCATTTCTTTCTTAATGCCTCAATTTCTGTCAAGAAAGAAAGACAAGCTGTCTCGCAGGATTTTTGTAGGGTTCTGAATGAGATAATAAGTTCTGGAGTACTTTGCAATGTAGAATACTGGCCCATGGGTAAATTTTTAAAATGTAAGGTGTGCCTATCTGGCCTCCAGGTGGCAGTGACTTCCCAGCTCCGGGGATTAGTGTGATCTATGGCATTTGCCCAACCCCAGATCCTTGCTGCTTCCTCTGCTACTATCCTTGGGCTTTCCTTTCTTTATGGTCAGTTGGCAGCAGTTCTCTTACCTTTTGTTTTTCTCCTTTTAATGTCAAGGTATGGTCAGTGTTGTAGACGGCCAGCACGAACCTTGTATATTTATTCCATCTCCCTAGGAGGAGACTATATTTTTAAATTTTTCCTAATTTAAAATCTTATAAATCACCAACAAACATATGAGCTGGCCTGATATTTGCCCATTATTCTGTCTGGTGGGGGTTGCCTGCTAGAGCAGTGCTGATCTCCCAGCTGAAGACCCAGATCAGGGCTTCAGAGTGGACAAGTTCAAAGCAGAAGTGACCTGAGAGCTCCTTCATTCCTGATCCAGAGCTGATGGTTAGCAGGGAAGGCAGAGATTGAATACATAACTACAATGGGCCAATCAGAATTTTACAGAGGCATATGATAGGGGTTAACATGACGAACTCCTCAAGCTCTGAAGGTTGAAAAGGAGCTGGCTAGGGAAGGCTGTGCCCTGTAATGACCTTCTCATCTGTCCTTGTCTAGTGGGAGATTTATGATGCCTACATGGAGGAGCTTGAGAAGCAGGAAAAGACCAAAGAGAAAGAGAAGGCAAAGACCCCAGTGGCTAAAAAGTCAGGGAAGATGGCCATGCGGAAGCTGACATCTATGGAATCCCAGGTTTGGTGGGGGTGCCCACAGCTCTGTCACATAATGTCTGAGTGGTGTCTTGGCCCCTGGGTAGACAGAAACATGGCTGCCTGGGAGAGTTCACAGATACTTTAAAAAGAGGGGCTAATGTGGAGGTGTGAATAGTTCTTTCCTTGGGGGAACATGTGAAGAGACTACAACTGCCTCTGGTATTCCACCACCATCACTACCCTCTCCCCATCCCCTGCCAATTTGATATAGGTCTGGAAGTTAACAGGGGTTCAGGATCATTGGGCGAGGGAATAACCGAAGAAATACTTTATTGAAAGTGCCATATGCCTCCTGCGGGGGTCTTTCTAGAGTGGAGATGGGCTGTGAGAATAAAACATCACTTCCCTGAGGTTTGGGAGGGTGAGAGGCTCTTCTGCTTTCAGTCCTTGGGTTTAATGTGCCTGGTACTTAAGGTGAGTCTTCAGGGCTAGGATCCAGACAAGAGATGATCACAGGTACCATCAACGCCAGGACAATGAATATGGCCATCCTGGGCTGGATTTACCATGAGGAGCAATGTGGGAGTTTTTACAAAGCTCATGGTTGGGGTATGTGGAGGGGTGTAGCCAACATAGGTTTGGGGTTAGTATGGGAGTTACAGTGATGCAACCATGGAGATGTTCAAGGGCTACACCTATCCCTCTGACAGAGAGAAATCTGGGTCAGGAGTCAGGGTCCCAGTGTGGAGATCAGGATGGGTGTGACCTTCAATGGAAGAGATCCTCAGGAAACTGGGGGCTGGTTTCAGCACCTCGGAGAGCTCCCATGGCAGTTGTCTGGGAAGCAGTTCTGCTCCACTCCAGAATAAGAGTTAAAGAAGTTCAGCTTTCTTTGTCTGAGGTGTGCTCACTTCCTCTCAATTTTCCATTCCACAACCCTGATGTTGTCACAGTCAGAAGGATTAATGGTTCTCCTCTATGACTTAATAGAAACTCTTCCAATTAAGTTTCATTCAATCACTGACCAGGCATTCAGTGATCATAATCATACTAGGTACTGGAACTCTAAAGTGAAAGAAACCCCTATCCTGAGGATTGTTCTGTGATCCTTGGCTCCTCCTGCATCATTTCCCAGAGGTTAGAGGCGTCAGAGGAGCCTTTGATTTGTGTCAAGATTTGCATGAAGATCCATCAGGGTTTGGTTGTGGGCTCTGTTCTGGGACCCATGGTTGCAGAAACCCCAATTATAATCATCAAAACCCAGAAACCAGAAGAAAAGTCTCTGTGGCTAACTGGAAACTTACCTGGAGTCTAAGCCCTGCCAGAGTTGGTATATAACGCCTTCAGAGAGGAGGGATTTCCCCCCTGTATCACACTGGGCTCTTCCAGCTTGACTGACATGGCAGGCTGTGAAATAGGCAGATTCCATCCCTCTGGACCAAGAAGCCACAGTGGAGGCAGGACACTGGAAAGTATAATGTAACCCATTCCCAAGTGAGTGTCTTGGTATACAACCTCCTCTTCTTTTTTTCTTTCTTTTTCTTTTCTTTTCTATTTTTTCTTTTTCTTTTTTTTTTTTTAGAGAGAGAGAGAATTTTTTAATATTTTTTTTAGTTTTTGGTGGACACAACATCTTTATTTTACTTTTTATGTGGTGCTGAGGATTGAACCCAGCACCCCGCGCATGCCAGGCAAGCACGCTACTGCTTGAGCCACATCCCCAGCCCATAACCTCTTCTTAAAGGAATTGAGCTCTAAATGTGAATACCAGGTTGTCTAGGGGATAGAATGGGAGTGACAGTCATCTTTGCTTTGCCAAGGCCCAGTGTCTATTTAAGTTGATTTAAAAAAAAAACAACTCAGCTGTGCAGGAGGGGAGACAAGAGAACAGGTTGTGATACTCTGTAGGATGGTTTCCAATGATGGGCCTCATGTCTCAGTCTCATTAATGATTTGGGTGAATGCACAGAACTGAATGCAAGCTTGTCTGATCTGATTAGGCAGAAATGGGTAAAAGGGCTCTGAAGCCATAAGTTTAGTCAGAACCAATAAAGGAATGTGACTGCTCAAGTGGCATAACATCCAGAACAAGGGAGGTAATAAGCCACTGTACTGTCCTTGGAGGATATCTGGAGCCCTGAGTCTCCCAGAACCAGGAGAGGGTAATCAGGCTAAGGAGGGACTGGCCCTCCATATGAGGCAAGAATATGGGCCCTAGAGTCCACAGACCTGGATTTATATCCTGGCTTTGGCACTTATTAGCTGGGGCTTGGTGAAACCTGTTTCTTCATCTGTAAAACCATCCTAACAATCCCTACTTTAAAAGATTGTCACGAGAACCCAAGATAATATATGTAAAGCCCCAAATATAGTACTTGCCTGTTACTGATCAATAGATGGTGGCTATTGTTATTAATATGCCTTACCATGGCTGATGGGCTTGGCAGAGGTACCTCAGGAAGTGCTGACTTTGGAGAATAAAGCACGGTTCTGCTACATCAGAGGAGCTGTTGTTAGGCGTACAGTTCCTTAAGGCTAGAGGACAGAGTTAGGACCATAATAGAACACCCAGGGAAGCAGGTGTCAGCTAACTAACCATCTGGCCACAGGGAATGTTCCCTCATGTGCAGAGAGTTAGGCTTGAGAGGAAGCAGCCAAGAGGAGCTGGTTGTGCTTTTAGTCTGGGAGTAAGGGGAGTGGCTGGGACCAGGTGAGCTCTGAGGTCAGTGATTTTAAGACTCTGATGTCTGTCCTCCTCAGTCTGTTTCTGATAAAAATTTTGAGTCAATTTGAATTGATGCAAAACACCCTCAAAAAGCAGTTTCCCAGATACAACTTATAAGCCTCCATCACACTTCTGCATGTTTTCTCTGACACCACTTTTACAGTCACCACCAGGAAATGGGTTAAGTCAGAACTTGTGCATTATTGCATTTAATCCTCATAATGACTGTACGAGGCAGATGCTGCCATCCATTCTCATTTTGTCACACGGACTGAGTGACTCAAAGAAATTAAATAACTTGCTCAAAGATGTCATCTAGCTCCTAAGCAGTGGGATAGGATAGAAATGCAGGTTCATGTGTTTCTGGAACCTATTCTCTTCACCATGACATGACACTGCAGTCCCAATAGAGCCAATCCTCAGGAGCCATAGGCCTGGCCCTCAGAGGGTTGTCCACTCAGCTGGCTCACTCCTGCCATCTGCTCTAAACTCTTTGGTCCTTTCTTGCTAATCTCAAACTCTTTGCTCCTCTATTAACTTGCCTAGTGAATCACCTTGTGGATTTATGATACTCAAAATGAGTCATTTTTCCTGATACAAAACTTCTTGCCTTTGCTTTGGTCTGGGCAGTGGGCAAGGCCTGGAATTAGGAGTCTCAGTTCTCCCTTATATTCCATGCGTGCAAGCATATCTCTCCCTTCTTTAGGCTTTGGTGGCTTCCTCGACTTGTGACTAAATAAGGGGGTTGGACCAGGAGATTTCAGAGGCCTGTAATGGGTGTCTGTTATTCCCTGAGCTAGTGAAACCTCTCTGTTCCCACCAAAGATGCCTCTTACCTATTCTTAGCTGTGCTCCCCTCCAACACCTGCCTTGGCTCTCTCTGGTGCCTTATCTAGTACACAGAGAGATGCCTTCTCCAAAACAATCCCAGAATGAAAGAATGTGAAGCATACTCTGTCCAGGGCCCAGATATGTCAGCTGATATCCCTTGTGCCATCTGTGAGGGAGGGGTTCTTGGAAGGCAGTGGTGAAGTGAGTTGGACCTTGAGCCATGCAGAGATACCATTACAGAGCCATTTGGTTTAGTAGTGTTGGGGAGAAATTGCTGAACCAATTGCAAGTCTTCCCCACCTTAGGGCATATTACCTTGCCAAATGCTTATTAGGATGTGTGGTTTCTGTGTTCCCACAGAGTGATGATATCACCAAAGTGACCCAAGCAGCTAAAATTGTGGAGCGAATGGTCAATCAGAATACATATGATGATGTTGCTCAGGGTAAGATTTCTTGTGCTCATATTAAAAACTCCTCATAAAAACTGATATTTGAGTATCCCCTGCTAATTCCTATATATGCAAGAGAAAGAAAAAATTCCTCCCTCCTCTGGCTGTCATTGAGAGGACAAGACTTACACAAGTCAACCATGAACAATGGCATAAGAAACAATAGCCTTAGTGTTGAGATCTGACAATGGTATAGCAAGAAATGCCTGCACATTAGTGATCCAATGTCATCTTCCCAATACTCCTGGGAAGAAGACAGAGCAAAGATGATTACTCTTACTTTGCACATGAGACATCTGAGCCAATGTCACCTGGCTAGTGAGTTGGCAGAGGGGGGCCCAAACCTAGGTCTTGAGCTTCATTCTGTGTTCTGTTCTCTACTCAGTTGGAGTTGCTATAATGCCAGAATATACTAGATAGACAAAAACTGCTTGGGAAATCCCCACCAAAGGAAAAGGGAAGATAAGTTATGATTGGAAGCAGTCAAGGAAGGCTTCAGGGAGGTCTGAGCTAGATGTCAAGGGACAGCAGAGTCTGAGTAGGAGGATGGCAGAAGAGAAGATGTTCTGGGCAGAGGATAGCATGAGCAGTGACTTGATGGCAAGAATGCATAGGAATGGACTCCGGGAACAAGGGGCAGCAAAAGTGGTGAGAATTCAGGCTGGAAGGGTGGTTGGAACCAGTTTATGAAGTGCCTTGGATATCACAAGGGATTTGAGATTTCTCCACAGATAGTTCAGAGGCATTGAAGCCTACTAGGCAGAGACACAGCTCAGTGAGAACTGGGATGGAGGAAGATGTGAGTAAGCAGAATACAAGGATAAAGGTAAAGGTGCAGGTTGGAATGGGTTTTGCCACACCTAAATCATAGGGAATGGAGAAAAGGAGCAATAATAATGGAAAACAGCACCGGCATTCACTGTGTGTGGCCTATGTGTAAAGTATTGTGCTGTCTGGTTTATGTGTATTATTTTATTTTTCCTGACAGTTTTACTCTGTGAAGTGAATACCATTATTATCTTCAACTTATAGAGGAGAAACTCAGGCTTGGGTGTTGCTACTTGTTCAAAATCATAGCTAGTGGGAGCTCTGAGTAATTGAACCAGAATTTGAACACAGGCCCCTTGGATCCGTTGCCTAACCACTTTACCATGAAGCTACAGAGCCATGGAGCAGAGGAGATGTTTCAAATAAACACATTCAATAGATCTATCCTGATGATTAATTAGTGATGAGGTGAAGAAAGAGATTGATTCAGAAATGCTTAAATCCAGGGGCCTGGGAAATTCTGGTGTCTTTGACAGTGCCAGGGAAACGGAATCCTTCCCATGGCATGAACAGCACATTCCCAAGTGGCTTGTATTTCCCTAAGAGGTTGTGCATTTATTTGGAGCAGCTGCCTCCCCAGAGTTGGCAGCTCCTTGCTGCTGGCTGGTCTCCTTTGCTGACAGCCTAGGGCTCTTCTTGGTGACTTGATGTTCATTGCTCACCCATGGGACATAAAAACCAAGGCTGCCAAGACCAGGAGCCTAAACAAGCCCCCTTGTTATCATTCAGGCTGGAAAACGACCTTGAGTGCTTTTCAAAGCTGTCAAAGTACACAGCAGCTGTGAATGAATTTGTCACTCACACAGCTTGGCTTCCTGAAACCCAGCCTATGCAAGTGGCCCGCCAAAGGGCTGCAAACCTGATTAATATCCATGGAGAAACTGGCCTTGTGAACCACTTTCATTTATAAGAACACAGTCACATAAAAATGCATTGAACTTTGATTTTTTTAATTGCATACTCTTTTTCCTTTGGGAAAGTGTAATCATGAAGGAGAAGTGAAAATAGAGAAGTGTTACCAATTAATCTCTCTGAAATGAGGTACTTTCAGAGACACCCCAAGCTCAGGAATCTCTGATGTGATCAAAGCTCACGCCTTTCTGACCACTTGAATCTTTTTTGTTTCAAGACATTTTTGAAATCTGAATGTAATCTCACAACCTCAAGGTATGGGCCATTGTGAGAAATGCTGGAGCAATGCCTGGGCTTGACCTTGACTGTTTTGGATTAGAGGTTCATTTTCTAGTTGGTCATTCTTGTTTGGAAATAAAACCGAGAAACCATTTCACTTCAGTTTCTCTATTTCCTTGCATTCTTCGAATGGTCATTGGGTGCTGCTGTGTGGCTACCCTGTGCTAGGCACTGAGGACCTTGGAATGAATGATACACATTTCCTGCTCTCGAGGAGTTGTATAGTAGGGAAAATAGGCAGAATAATTGTGTGACAGATGTTTTAGTAGAGAAGAGGCAGGAATAGAAAAAGAGGAAGAAAATAGCTCTACTCAAAAGAAAATAATCCAAGCATGGTGGTGCAAGAGTAAAGTCCAGCGGCAGGCTAAGGCAGAAGGATTGCTTGAGCCCAGGAGTTCAATACCAGCCTAGGCAACATAATGAGACCTCATCTCAAAAAAAAAGAAGAAAAAATAAAATACCTTACAGAGCGGGGGTGGGGGAGGAATTTGATCTGGATTGGGAGTAAGAATGTGCCAGGAAAACCAGGACATTTTATACATGGAAACACAGAAACACAAAGTATACAGAAGCATATAGAAACATGAGATAACTTGACTCATTGGCACTATTTGGTATAAAGGATACATAGACAGCTGGCTTGAAATGATGTGAAGGTGGAGGCCAATAGCCTTGGTTTGACCAGGGAGCCCCTGTATAAGGAGAGCCATGGAGGGGGGGGGGTGGTTCCACTGGGATGAGAAGAGTGGTGTGGTAGAGTTTGTTTGCTCTCCATCTGGTAGTTCGGTGGAATGTGGGCTGGAGGAGGGGTTATAATGGTAGGGAGATCAGTTAGAAGGAAGCTGTAATAACTCAGATAAAGGAATCTGGGACCTGAACTTGGGCATTGGCTATAGGTTTAGAGAGAAATGAATGGATTAAAAGGATATTCTGGAGGAAACTATAACAACTGGTAAAAGGAAATCAGTCAAGGATTACGTAGGTTTCTGGTTTAGACATGTGGAAAGATGAGGTTTCTACCTAGCTTAGAGAAAATGGGAGGCAGAAACAATTTTGAGGCAGATGAAGTTGAGCTTGGGGAATCCATGGGGGATCCAGGCAGCTTCATTATAGTGAGGTTTGGCAGTGGATATGAGGATGAGCTGCATTTTAGGGATTTAGGAGGCAGAATGAATAGAACTATTAATCAGCCTCTGGCAGCTGAAACCTTGAAATTTGGCTGCTCCAATCTGAGTCCTCTGAAGTGCTGGGGAAACTCATGGGGACAAGGGCTGCAACCTGGGATTCTATCCATGAGCACATGGCTACTTTATTGTAATTTGCTTCCAACAACAATGACAGTAACAATAGCTAATACATAAAAAGAAGTTACTGTGTACCAGGCATTTTTCTAAGCACTTTGCATATATTAACTCAACATATCCTCATAGCAGTCCTTTGAGATAGGTACTATTATTCCTACCCGGAAACACAAAGAGGTTCATTGTATTGCCTGATGAGACAGTAATTGGTGAATCTGGCTTTGCTGAAAAGTGGCAGTCAGGAGGCTGACTCTACCTGTGTGTATTTAAGATTTTAAGTACTATGAGGATGCTGCTGACGAATACCGGGACCAGGAGGGTACACTGCTGCCGCTCTGGAAGTTCCAAAACGACAAAGCCAAGCACCTGGCCGTCACCGCCCTCTGCTGGTGAGTATAGACATTGCAGCAAACTCAGAGCCCCTGCTGCTCAGAGTAGCCCCCCTTTATTGCGCTTAACAACCTTGAGTGTGACTCGTGGCAACATGGGAAAAGCAGGGCTGTGATTCCTATGGGACTGCAGAATCGTCCAACGTCTCCCAGCTGGTAAACGCCCAAGTTGGACAGTAAATATCTGCAGTGTAGTTAGGCACTAATGTCCATGGAAGGGACATGTCCACTTCCTATGCCAATGGGTTCGTATTTCTTTTGCAGGAATCCAAAGTACAAGGATCTGTTTGCAGTAGGACATGGCTCCTGTAAGTGATCCAGCTATTCTTTCATTGGCTCGTGCAAACAGCAAACACTAAGTACCTACCCTGTGCAGAGTTCTTGGCTGGGTGTGAGAAATGTGAAGATGACTAGGATACCCCCTGGGAGATCCACAGTCTGATGGAAAGACCTATAATCCTATGGGCAATTAGTGTTGAATGAAGGAATGTATAAAGCTGAATATGCCAACTGAGCCTTGAAGGAAGAGAGAGCACTCTGGCAGAGGGGCTAGCATAGTTTAAGTCTGGAGGCATGAGAGAAATGGCAGGAAATGGAGCTGTCAAGGGACCAGGGTCAGCCCTCAAAGGGCTTGGTAAGCCATTCCAAGAAGCTTGGAGCTTCTCCTGAGGGGAAACCACTGAAGGAATTTGAGAAGGGTAGGGACAGGTCCACTTCAGAGAGGAATTGCAGGCCTGATACTGGAGTCTGGTACAGGCATCTCAGGGAGAGATGGGACGATCTTAAACACAGCTGTGGAGTGTGATGGAGGCCCTCTCCTGCATCCTCTCCTAGCCTTCTTGACCAGCCCTGGAGCAGGGTTGTGGGTGGAGGTGAGGACAAGTGCTTGAAATTCATGACTTGGCTCTGGATCCCTGGAAGACCACTGTTGTCCAAATGTTCCTGCCTCTGCCATTTACATACTCGGGGCAGAGAGGCAGCACCCAGTGATAATTGTGTCTGGGCAATTTGGTTTTCTTTATGTTACTTGGTCCAAGCGGAAGTCTCTACTGCTGTGCTGGCCTGGACATTCCCCCTTTCCAACAGGAGAGGGCCCTATACTTCGCATTAGTCGCACCTCCCCATTGCTAACCGTGTGTTCTCTGGCTGGGAGAATCAGCTTCTGAGAACAGAAAACCTCTCCATTCTACAAGCTGCTGCTGGCTGGCAGGCAGACAAGCTCCTGGTTGCTGCCCCTCAGATCGCCTGTCAGCCCATTCTTTGACCAGGGTGGGGGAGAGGGAGGGAGTACAAGGAGGAGTTGATGTTTGTCATTCCTCTCAGGGAGGAGACGTTGGAGCTGCTCCCAGTCCTGTGGACTGGGCTGCCTTTGAGGATGCCCTGAATGCCTGCTTTGTGTCCCCACTCCTGAGGGTGGGCTGCTGCCAAATGGGAAGCACCCTCCCCCTCTGGCAGAGAACAAGCACATTCTTCCCCTCTGCTGCAGCTACTGGGTCTGGAACAGGGCCTGGGGGTTGGGCAGATTCACCCAGGAGTAGGTGTGGACCCCCCTTTGAGGCTGCTCTCAGCCCAGGCTCTCTGCTCAGGATGAGGTGAGGGTGTGTGATCTCCCCAGAAGATGGGAGAAGAAACTCAGTTCTATCCTATTCTCCATCAGGGTCAGAAGCAGTGTCAGTTGGTCGGGGTCAAAATGGAGTCTGTTTAGTCAGTAGCAGTAGAAAAGGATAATTCATCCCCCACAAAGCGATGACATCAAAGCTGAAAGGCCTGGCAGCCTCCTATAGACAGGCACATACCCAGGAAGGGTCTCTTTGTCCTCCTTGGCCCTTTTAGCCATATCCAAATGCCTGAGTGCTACCCGCAATCAGCTACAGCCCTTCCCCTGGAATCACTTCTCAGTGGTGTACTCTGGGTCTTGGTCACCTTATTGATGATAAGGAGAGGCTGATAACCTGCCAGGCCTCTGTATCAGGGCTGTGTTGAGTCACATGTGAGAGTAAAGAAGTAAACGTGCCCTACGAGTTGTAGGAACCACTTACACATGAAGAGCAACCATTGCTGATTTGGCTCAGTCTTTTCCCCGGCTTTCTTGCAGTATTTTCAGGGGTCCCAGGCAGAATAAAGGGGCTGGGAGTCAGAGGTGAATCTTTTGGGGAGCAAGGCCCAGGAGCAGTGGCAGCGGTATTTACTGTTGCTGTCACTGGTACAGTAGTTGTTGGCAGTTTTCAGATGGGCATCTTTTATAGAGCCTTTTATATTTCAGTACCACTTGCAGAAGCCAGAGGACAGCCAGTCCGGGCTGGGACCCAGGAAGGTCCCATCATCTACTCCTGAGATCACCTCTGGGAGACCCATGCTCTTGAGTGTCCAGGTACCTCCATGGAAGAAAAAGCACAAAGTGGAGGCAGGCAGAGGACACCCTAGTTGCCGGATGGGGTCTTTCTGAAGAGCAGTTGGTCTCACCAGCTTCTGTCACAATCTTTGGAAGCTCCCAACTACCAACCCCCATCCCCATAATCAGATTTTGTCATGAGGACAAACACTGGAATGAGAATTTGTGTTTATTTCTGGTTTTGACCTTGGTGAACTGAATCCAGACCTCATGCATTTCCTTTTGCCTGGAATTTCTAGATGTTTATTCTGTGACCCAGTCACATAAAACTTTGGTAAGGTAGGCATGTACCCTAGGAAAGACTGGAGCTTGGCTGGAGTCAGGTCAGAAGCAAGCAGGTGGGGAAAAGGGGATCTGGGAGCTGCCTACAACAGCTCAGAAGCATCCACACCTGCATCCCCTTTAGGGCAGCTGTATGCCCGCATATTACGCTTCTTAAAGGGAAGATACTGTGATGTCCCTGAAGCCAGGCTCCTTGTTCCCAGCAGAGTGAAGTAAGAGGCTGTCAGCAGATGAGGGCAGGTAGAGGAATGTTGGAGAGCAAAGGCAGCTAGTCCAGGAAGAAATGGCCCTGGAACTGCTGGGGTGAAATTATGTCCGCCTGCTGTACCGAGAGGGTCCTTTCCAGCTCATTAGCCAGTTCATAGCAGGGAAATTGGGCCTGTGCATGGTCTGTCAGGCAGGGATGGTGGAACAGATCCTGGAAACTCTGTGTGGTCCTGAGGCGATCACAGAGGAGATGAGGCAGGAATTTCCTCAGCAGGTCTCTTAGTGGAAGTGCAGGGGAGCCAGCTGTGCTTCAATCCAGCCTCCCTTTGGGGCAGCACCTCCCTCTGGGGCAGCACCTCCCTCTGGGGCAGCACCCTTAAAGGGGCCAATGGCAGGCCCCAAGATCCAGGACTAAACTCACTCCTGTTCTGTCCCAGCATATCCTGGCCTGTCCCTGAGCCTGCTCAGACCAGAGATACACTTGTAGGGATTTAAATCTTTCCTGATCATTTATTTGTCAGCTTCACTAATTAAGCAGTGTTAATTTCATTTACTGAAAATGGAAATTCATCCACCTCATTTCTCCCTGTTCATCCTCCACACACAAAATCCATCACTCCTCAGCTGCAGGCTGCGTAAAATTTACAGGACTAATTATGTTGTCAGGTCTCTTTGTAAATACAGTCCATAAAGGCCACTATGCTTGCTGGGTTGTAGTGTAAGGGCATTCCCATTGTTAGTTTAATTACTGGTTAGTTATTAGGTTCTCAAATGTTTGCCTCATTTTCCCTAAATCAAATTAAATGTCCTGCTTGATGTATTCTGTCTCCAAGGCCTTGCTCTTATTTCCCACACTGTTTAAATAAGACTTCTAATCCAATGAGAGTGCCTGGAAAAGCCCTACTGCCTGGAAGCCTGCGCCCAGCTTGGCACCATGGCCTCTGGGCCATGTTTGAAGTTTGGAACCCTCTGGAAACCGATGCCATTCTTCAGGCCAGACTTGGGTTAGTCCCCTTCCTCTAGAGACTGCAAAAATTCTGTTCCTGGAGTCCAAGGTGGCAGGGCTGAGCTGTGGGAAACTAAGGAAGGCTTTCGTTATTATCATCAGAAGAGCTGAGGATCATTTCATCTATCCGCCTGACTTCTAGAGGGACTGCTTCCCAACTGTCCCAGAAAAATAGTGCCATCTATGGGAGCTTGTCTCTTCCACTCATAAAAGTAGAGTTTGGGTCAATCTTCCCTGAATGCCTATGGTATTTGTTTCCTGTTGCTGTCGTAGTAAATGACCACAAACATCATGTCTTAAAACAACATCAATTCATTGTCTTACAGTTCTAGAGGTCAGAAGTTCAAAAGCATTTTTACTGAGCTAAAAATCAGGTGTCAGCAGGGCTGTGTTCCTTCTGGAGGCTCATGGAGAGCACCTGTTTTGTTTTCTTTTCCAGCTTTCAAAGGCTGCCCGAATTCCATGGCCCTCATCTAGCTAGCAATCGCATCATTCTGACATCTGCTTCTGTCGTCACATCTCATTCTCTGACTCTCCTGCCTCTATTTTTCCCTTATAAGAACTCTTGTGATTACATTAAATCCATGCAGATAATCCAGGATAATCTCCCCATCTCAAGGTCTTTAACTTAATCACATCTGCGAAGTCCCTTTTGCCATGCAAAGTGTCATATTTATAGGATCTGGGGATTAGGATGTGGACATTTGGGGGGGGAGCATTATTCTGCCTACTGCACACCCCCTCCAAGTGCTTCTTGCATGACTTAATAAGGGAGTCATCAAACAGCTGCTGCCTTGGAGCCAGTCCTGGGCTGGCCTCATTTAAGATGCCACAGTACAAGAGGGAGCCTGCTGTCCCAAGCTGGCAGGGTACCCTTGTCTCTGCAGTTTGCCATCTACTTCCTACTGACCATTGACCTGGCCTTAGCCTGGTGGCCCAACATGCCCTCTGCCTGCCTTGTTTCCCAGAATCCTGAGTAGGAACTAGGGTTTTCCTGACAGCCAGCATTCTCCATAGTGGCCCCTATGACATAGAGCTGTTCTTTACCTGCTGGGCAGGAATGAAGTTGTGGTCTGAGGTCCCACTACTAGTTTCCAGTTCAAGAAGACATCAATCCTCAAGTTTTTGTTGTTCTTGTTGGATATACATGACAGTAGAGTGTATTTTGATATATTAGGATGAATACATGGAGTATAATTTACTCTAATTAGGATCCCATTCTTGGGCTTGGAGGTGATGTGGAGTTTCACTAGTGGTATATTCATATATGAGTATAGGAAAGTTATGTCCGATTCATTCCACTGTTTTTCTTATTCCTGTCCTCTCTCCCTTCCCTTCTTTCCCCATTGTCTAATTCAATAAACTTTTATTCTTCCTCCCCTGCCCTCCATCCAGGTTTCTCCCTAGGCACTGTTCTACCAGAACTCTAGCAGAAGAAGCTGAGGACAATCAGAGCTTTGCTCTGTGGTGGAATTAAAACACACACGTGCATATGTGCATTCACACCCACATGCACGCTCGCTACTCCCCTTGCCAGAGATCACAGCTTTCTGAGAACTTCCACATCAGGCTCTGTCTCACAGGGGGTCGATTCTCCTCCCCCAAATCTTTTGGATTATTGAAGGGTAGAGTCAGGGAGGCCTTAGTGATTATCCAGTAGAGCAGGGTGAGAGGAAAAGCTTGATTGCCACAAAGAGAAAGACTGCTGAGGAGCAAGCCAAGGTGTGCTCCCTCCATCCTTCATGGCAGGTCAAGGAAAAGACCTGCTCACAGTTCCTGACAGTGTGTGGGGGGAGGGGCAACACCTCAGAAGAGATATTCTCAGTGACTGAATAGTCTAGAAGACCTCCCAGAGAGGGTCCTCATGGGCTGGTAGACCCTCTAAACAGTTGGAGAGACTATGAGGCAGCTTAAGGAAGCAACAGGAGCAAAAGTACTAAGACGAGCAGAGCTAATTTCCTGCTAGCAACCCTTTCCCTCTGTCTCAGGGTCAAGGTCTGTGTGATTATCATTTTTCTCTCTCCCTCTCTGTCTTTCTCACTCTACCCTTTTCCCCCTCTATTTCTCCTCTGTTCTACCAAGCTACATATACTTACTGAAATCCTATAGCCTAGAAGACCCCAGAATTAATTGACTGGCTCCAGACTTGAGTCTCTGCCTCTTTATACAATAGATGGTGGGGTTAGGAGGTTCCTATCTGGGTTTCTGGACTCTCTAACCCTTCCTTAAGAAGCCAGGAAGTTTGTGGCATTCAGAGCAAAGTACTCCAGGGGCCAGACCCAAGGTTCTGCAAGCCTTGAGTCTGTGGGACTCTAGCCCTCATTGGTAGCTGAAGCATTGAGGGTGACTTGAAGCTAATGTCGGACTGGGACTGTTAGTGACCTGGCTGGTGATGTCATACTGATGGAATATTGGATGACTAAGCAATGATATCATTAGGGATTGGTGCTATCATACCTTCCCTTGCAGGGTCAGAGACAGGCCACTCATTAGATCCTGCAGTTGAATGAGTAATTCCAGCAACCCAGGAGACTGAGGCAGGAGGATTGCAAGTTCAAAACCAGCCTCAGCAACTTAGTGAGAACCTGTCTCAAAATAAAAATAAAAAGGACTGGGGATGTGCTCAGTGGTTAAATGTTCCTGGGGTCATTTCCTAGTACCAAAAAAATTTTAAAAATTTTTTAAAAAGATAATGATGATATGATGTTGGGACTATTGGAGGTTTGGGCTGTGATGTCACACTGGCTATACCTGGAGAATGGAATAATGAGATCTCAGAGAGGCCACTGGAGTCAGGGTGAGTTCATAGTATAAGATAGAGTTGAGAGGAAACCCCAGTTGAATAAGGGTTTTCTTGGTGTGATTGGGCAGAAAGACCCCCAAATTAGAACTAAGGAAGAATGAAGTCTAGAAACCATGATCTCCGTGCCTCATTTGGTTGCAAGTAACAGAGATTATTAAACCAGTTTGACAAAATGGGCCTCAATGTCAACATAGTATGACCTGGGAACTAGTATGATTGGTTGTTCTCTATGTCCCTCTCTCATGAAATCCATGTTCTTCTCTGTAGTCATTCCCTTTTATCCTGCTTGACTGCTCTGTCACTTATGCATTCTCTAGTCCATAACCTGGAGGGACTGGATTATTTTTGCTAGTAATCACCACCCCATTAGGTTTGGTGACCCCTTCCTCTCCTTTCTCCACATCTGTGTAAACACCAGATTACTAGAGCAGTATATGTGCAGCTATCAAAGGGACATTGGGTGTGGCAAACACCATGAGATATGCATCATGCAGCAGGACACACCATTTCTGTCCTCTAGGCCTCAGTTTCTCTGTCTGTAAAATTAGGCGGGCACGATTCCAGCCTGTGGTCTCAGTGGTTCTGTAATTGGGTTAGAGATGTCTTCAATACAGAGTTACTAAGCCAACCTACGGCTTCCTAACCTCTTTTCCTGGTTTCACTGGTCATGAACACTCTGTGCATGAATGTAGGGGTAGAGGTTTATGTAAAGAAAGTAAGTCGCCAGGTGCAGTGGAGCACGCCTGTAATCCCAGCAACTGGGTAGGCTGAGACAGGAGGATCATAAGTTCAAAGCCAGCCTCAGCAAAAGCAATGTGTTTGGCAACTCACTGAGACCTGTCTCAAAATAAAATACAAAGTAGGTATTAGGTCTGGGCATGTGGCTCAGTGGCCAAAAGCCCCTGAGTTCAACCAAGTACAAAAAAAAAAAAAAAAGAAGAGAAAAGAAAAGTCATCACTGCTGTCCCTCAAGGGGCCAAGACCTATACTTAGTAAGAGCAATTGTGAATGTCATGCTTACCTTTGCTCCTTAGTGCAATAAGGATAGCATCTGAGTCCTTGGCTTGAGCAGGCATTCCTTCACTCTCTTGTTCACCCACTTACCTGCCTGCTTACCTACTCACCCTGTGTCAGTCTTGACCAGCATAGAAGAAGGATTGGAATTTGGAGTACCAAGGGCTCGCCTCTGACCTGGCAGTTGGCTGGTCAGTTTGTGGATTACTCATTCAGCTGCAGAATCTAGTGATTGGCTGTCTCTGACCCTGCAAGGGATAACCGATAGTAGGAGGCCCAGACCAGGTTTGATGAACAAAAGGAGCTAAATTTGTTTGATGAACAAAAGGAGCTAAAGTGATGGTCACCCTGTCCAGTTCAAGCCTTTCATGTTCTGGACAAAAAAGACACTCCCCTCAGCCAGCTGACCCTTGAAGTCAACCCATGGGGCCCACCTGGAGTCCTATAGAATGAGGTACTGTCACGTCCACCCCATCTACCCCAAGGTCAGCCTCCTACTGGTTTTAAGATAGAGTCAGGCATACGGTGACCCAGCTTTGGTATCAGGGCATCTGGAAGCCCTCAAGTGTCTACTTTTTGCTGGGAGGCTCACTTTCCCCAGAACAGAAGCATTTTCCTTCCTGATTTACCACTTGCCCTCCCCATGGCTCTGGCTGAACCCTGGAATCTTCTCTCCTAGGTGCATGTGTGGCCTCCCTTGCAAGTGATCCAGGGAGGGGCTACTGATTCAAATTTGAGAGCTGGTGAGGATTAACCCAACAAGGGAAGGTGGTCTTCCCCATAGACAGCTGCTCTGGTGGGCATGCCAGCTTGCCTCAGCTTCCAGTGTACTTTTCTGTTTTGTTTTTTGTTTTTTTCTACTGGGGATTGAACCCAGGGGTACCTAACGACTGAGCCATATCCTCAGCTCTTTTTTATATCTTATATAGAGACAGGTATTGCTGAGTTTCTTAGGGCCTTGCTAAGTTGCTGAGGCTGACTTTGAACTCGCAAGCATCCTGCCTCAGCCTCCCAAGCCACTGGGATTTCAGGCATGTGCTACCACACCTGGCCCAATGTACTCTTCTAAAGACAGCCTGGCTCCTGCCCTCTCCCTGCTCTCAATCAGAGCTCAGTTTGGTCTTTGTAAAATGCCTGGAGTGGGGATACCTGGGACAAGGCAGTAACTGAGTTCATACCTTGAGCCCTGGATCTGGGTCCAACTAAACCTGACTTCCCCCACACCCTTTTCCTCATGGTATATAGGTTTGAACCCAGGAGTGCTCTATCACCAAGCTATATCCCTAGCACTATTTTTAAGTTTTTGAGACAGGGTCTCCCTAAGTTGTTGAGGCTTATCTGAACTTCTAATCCTATCTCACCCTCCTGAGTCACTGGGATAACAGATGTGCACAACCATGCCCTGACCAGACATTTTCTTGATTAAGGGTCAGCCTTAAAAATAAAACAGAACAACTTAACAAAACTAGTCAAGTTGAGGTTACCTCCCTGACACTCCCACCCATATGCTTCATACTTCAAGACTGGATACTTTGGAAAAAAAAAAGACTGGATACTTTGTCACAAGGTCCCAGGTCCTACATTTGTCAGGAACAAAGGAGGAGGTCCTAAAGCAGGGAAAGTGGAAAGACTCTCATATTGGCCAAAAGTCTCCCTTGGTATAGGGCCTACAAAATGGGGGCTGCACTAGCCTCTACCTCCCTGGCTGTAGTTACTTTGAGTTTGGGAAAGGGGCTGAGAGGTCTGAGCTGGTTGTAGGGAAGTTGGATTTGAAGACTACGAAACGACTATGTTCAATGACTGCATATCAGGGTGGGCACCAAGTGTGCAGAAAAAATGAAGAAAGAGCACTCTTTTGACATGGGGCAGGTAGGAAGTCTGAATAAGCCTGTGGCAGCATGACTGGCTGGCTGGGATCTTCCCATGAGCCCTGGAAAGATGTAGGCAAAAATCTCATAATTCCATTTCACAGAGAAGGTAAAACCCAGGGAGGGATCCCAGGCTCTCTGATAGGCAGAGCAGGGCAGGACTTGCCCAGAAGGTGGGATAGGGGCAAGGGGGCTCTCTCAGCAGAACAGATGGATCCTCCAACTCTAACTACCCTTCTTCCCTGGGTAGATGACTTTATGAAGCAGAGCAGGGGCATGCTGCTGCTCTACAGCATGAAGAATCCCAGCTTCCCAGAATATACCTTCAGCAGTGACAGTGGCATCATGTGTCTCGACATGCATATGGACCATCCCTATCTAGTGGTGGTGGGCCACTATGACGGAAATGTGGCCATTTACAACCTCAAGAAGCCCCAGGCCCAGCCCTCCTTCCGCAGCACAGCCAAGTCTGGCAAGCACACGGATCCTGTATGGCAGGTCAGTCTCCCACCAGAATGGGAGAAGTATGTGGCCCTGGGAACCACTGGGAGGGGAGGAACTTGGGGAGGAGGGGCCATAGGCAAGGAGCTGGGGGTGGCAGGTACCAGCTTAGAGCCCAAGAAACTGGGTGTGAGAAGAGGCAGAGAAGTGCAGTAGGTACAAATCAGGAGGTAAGAGAGTCTCCAGTAAGAAATGGGGTCTGCTGCCCTTATGCTCCCATCAGGGGACCCCATCTCTCAGCCAAGGAGCTCCTAGGTTTGGCAATCAGTAACTCTGAGGCCATAGAGGGAGGCCTCCAGGGCCTGACAGGCTCCAGCTGGATATGTTAGGGACTCCAGATCTTTGTCTATAGGCTTGCTTGACTCCCGACAGGGTCTCTCCTCTGCCATCTGGGCTGTATTTTGGGAAGCTCCCAGACAGGGCTGGGTACTGCTGGTTGCCTGCCCTCTGGGTGGAGCTGAAGGCCCTGGCAGACTGAGGTTTGTCCTTGAACCAATTTGTAGCATTGCGCTTCTTCAGATGGGCTAAGAGGGGTGGGCAGGGCCTCTGCTCTAATGTGAGATGAGCCCCAGACCATAACCAGGACATTAGGTCTAGATTTTACCTTGACTTTGTGTATTCTATCTTATTCTATGGGATGTAGATTTCACAGATTTCCTCTTAGAGTGTTTTTTTAGGGCTTTTCAGGCCCCTCCTCACTATCTCCCAAAGGTCCCCTGCTTCTATAGCTGTGTATGTTCCCCGCTGGGCAGAGCAAGTCTGGAAGAATCTAAAGATGGATTTCTGCTTTAAATTTCCCAAAGCCTCTGGGCTTATCCAGGAGCACTCAAACTCTGTCTTCTCATCTTTTTCTGCTCTCCTGCTCTGACAGTCTTCAGGCAGGCTTTGTATCTCTGCCTCTTCTGGCTTTGAGCTCCCCTGTCCAGGCACTAGGTCTGAGCACCTAGACAGGCCTGAGCAGAGAGAAGACTGCTCAGGACAGCAACATAGTGCCCTCTCAGTTTGATCCTTTACCCAGAGCCTGGGGAAGATGGTGGAAAGGAAACAGCTACACATCTTCCCCTGCTCCCTACAAGCAGGGACCAGAGGTTGCAGCTTCAGGAATTCTCTCCACCAAAAAGTCCACCTTCTTGGGCTGGGGTTGTGGCTCAGAGGTAGGGCGCTCGCCTAGCATGCATGAGGCACTGGGTTCAATCTTCAGCACCAAATAAAGTAAGATAAAAATATTTTGTCCATGAAAGACTTTAAATCCAGACAGAGAAGAAAAGACTTGCCTTGATGGTGCCAGTGCCAATCCTGCTTCCTGCTTTATCAGCCCAGATATCCGAGGGCCAAGCAAGGAGCATCTCTGGCTGACCCGACCACCCTCCTCAAGCCCAGGAGAGAGGGAGAGGCCCAGCCCAACCACCCTACTTCTACTCTGCCGTGTTCTCTAAATCAAGAGCAAGTTGAGGGGAAAAAAATAGGGCACAGAGAAGATGTTATCTTTTTCTTTGGACAGGTCCCAGAAAGACTAAACCTCACTTGGACAGGGGTGGCTTTCTCTTTTACCATCCTGCCAGGAAAACAGGGTTTTGGGCTGGAATCACTGCATGTGACCTGGGAGGAACCTATCTATCATTTCCTGTTCCTTTCTTTTCCTCTCATTTCTCTGTCCATTTCTCATTCATTCACTCATTCATCCTTTCAGTAACTCCTCCCTATTTGCTTCTCTGGTTGCTAAGGATGCTCAAGGGCCTAGGTTCTGGACTTCATAGTGGGAAGAGAACCACAACCATAGGCTGACCAGGGCAGGAGAGAATGCTAAGTGCTGAAGTAGAGGTGTGCACTGAGGGAAATCCACATTGTCCTGGGTGGGGACTAGGGGCAGAAGGGTCAGCTAAGTCTTTCTAGAGGAATCAACTCCTAAGCTGAATTGTGAGTGATGGAAAGGTGTTAGTTAAATGAAGAACGGCACAAGGAGGGTCACTTACGCAATGACATGGGATTTCAAACAGAGTGGCCTGTGTTACCCTGGGGGAGGGGAGCAGACCTGAGGAAAGGGTAGGCATCCAGTCCTCAGGTACTTAGTTATCAAGATAAGAAACTTGGACATTGTAGGTCAGTGATTTCAAAGAGAATGTTAATACAAAGCACAATATATTAAAAAGATGGGATTGGAACTTCTCTGGTAAGATCAGGGCCCTGCTTACTTCAGGGTCCACTGTTATTATGCACTCTGTCCCCTGCACTAGTTTCCCAAGGCTCCTAAGATTTCCCCTGAATCTTGTTTGAAGATTTCTGTCCAATCATCAGAGAGTTTGGGTTGAGGAGTAAGTCATGATTGTTTCTTTGAAAGATCATCTGGCTGTGCATGAGAACTTTCAAAGTCTGAGCAAAGGTAAGGAGCAGTGCAGATGAGGAGGTAGGATGGAGAGCTGTTAGGGCAATAAAATCAGTAGGAGGAAGGAATTGAATAAATATGAGAAAAGGGAAGAATTGATGCTGCCCATGTTTGGGGTGCCCAGTAGGGCATCTACAGAAGTAGGAAATGGCAGAGAGGAACAGATTTGGCCAGAAGTTAATACAAAAAGACTGATAGATACCCAAAGGGAAGTCTCCTCCAGGCAGTTGGAGGTAAGAGTGTGGAGCCAGCCAGGTGAAATGATGTGTGTTCTCAGCTACATGGGAGGCTGAAGTGGGAGGATGGCTTGAGTCCAGGAAGCAATATAGCAAGACCCCAGCTCAAAAAGAAAAGAAAAGATTTTGAAGGAGAACCAGCAGGCTGGTGAATGAGATATCAAAGATATCAGAATCCAGGTCCTTCTTTTTTACTTTTTTGCAGTGCAAGAGATTAAACCCAGCACCTTGTGCATGCTACTAAGTCCTTCTTATGGGGACTGTATCCAAAGTATTTGGAGGAACCCAGAGAGGTTTTTTGGACTGCAAGTGCCAGGCTGGGGTAGGAGTTTGTTCTGTTGGCAGTGGGGAGTCATGGAGAGAACTGTCTTTAAGACTGAGCTCCTGTCCCATGACACAGGCCACTTCTACAGAGACCCTGCCTAAGTAGTCCGGCCTTGCCAAGGCCCTACTGTGAAGCCTCAACCAGTACCGGAATGTGGGGTATGTGCACGTGTTGTGCATTATGGGAAAGGGAGCAGGAAAGCTGTATGAGCAAAGACTGGGGGCAAGCAGGGGTCTGCCTTAATCAGATAAGGTGAAAGAGGGGGAGTTAATTAGGGTCCAGCTCTTCCCTACCACCTGGTCCCTGGGTGTTCATTCATTCTCTTAACCCCACTTACCACTGTGCCTCTCCTGCTTTATTCCTATCCTGTCACCTCCACTCCAGGAGCACGTGTGTGACTTAAACACACACACACACACACACACACACAGTTGCTTGCAAATGCACACACCACCCCCCATTGGGCATCAGGCTGCTAAGTGGGGTGTGAAATACAATTTCCAAGAGTGCTGGCGTCTGCTCATTAAACACTTCCCTTTGCAGCTCCCTAGTGCCTCTTACAACCTGGCCTTTGACACCCCCTGTCCCCTCCCCCCTTTAAAGGGACCACCTTTACACAGAGGGGAAGTATTTTCCGTACAGGGTAAGCTCTAATTTGAGCTTGAGCCTTTACTTGCTCTACTGTGTTCTACCCCCCAGTGAAAGCTCAAAAGAGCCCTCTGCCCAGACAAGCCCAGGAAGGACTCAGTCCGCCCTCCCACAGCTCTGATCCGCCTGGCCTGGGGGGTGGTTGGGGAGAGACAACCTCTTCTCCCCACCCCCCAACAGCCATGGTGACAGCTGCGGTTACAGGCAACAGCACTAGGTTCTTGGCCTCCCTCACTGAGCCTCTGATTGTGACAGGGGGAGGAGACTGGACAGTGGTCCCGGCATGGGCGGTCTGGAGGGAGCCAGAGGATAGAAAGCTCTGGGCGCCCAGCCCCACCCCAACTCCCTGGGACTTGGCTTGGCTAGGCCTCCACATCTGGCAACAGAAACTTGAGCTTCAAGCGTGTCATCTTCATAAGACAACAGCTCTGTCTCCAAAACACTTTCCCATATGTTTGCTTCCAGCCCTGAGAAGACGGGTGGGGCAGGATAATTAACCCTGATTTGCAGATGGAGAAATGCGGCTCAATTCTGGGATTTGGGAGCAAGATTCTGGGAGCAGGAGCTAGTGATGACGTGAAAGTGGGAACAGAGGAGCCACTTCCTAGAGAAAGGCCAAGCCTAAGAGGAGGGCAGAGGAGGGGGTGTACTCCTCTTCTTCTCCACCCTACCCCCAAGCAAGCAGGAGAAAGACCCTGCAGAAACTTGGCACCCACATTGCTAGGATGATGGTAATAATGAAGACATTAGCCAACATTTGTTGAATACTTAATATGCACAATGTTCTGACTTAAGTGTTTCACATATCATATCTCATTCCTCACAACAAGCCTATGCTATTATGACTTCCACTTTATAAGTGAGAAAACTGGTTTTTGGGCCCTGTCCTTTCCAGGTCATGTCTCTATAAGGAGGTTGAACCCAAAACTATATAGGCTTCTTCCCACAATGAGGGTCCTAAAATTCAACCCAGGGAGGAATATGTACCTCCACTGCTGATATTAGATTAGAACAATGCCTGACTGGCACTGTTGCCCCAGGTTGGTCAGGGACAGAGGGATACCAGAGAGACAGAGATGGATGGGAGGAGGTACACAGGACCAATCATGGGATTCTGGGAAATGGGCTCCCAGAACTTGCTTCTGAGCCTCAGATGGGTGCTTGGAGGAGCCCTGCTCACAGTCCTATCTCCACACCCTAGCAGGGTCCCCGAGCTCATGTTTTTGAATGTTTCAGGTCAGGTGGCAGAAGGACGACATGGACCACAACCTTAACTTCTTTTCTGTGTCATCTGATGGCAGGATCGTGTCTTGGACACTTGTGAAGGTTGTCTCTTTCTCAGAGAGGGTCTTGCAGGGGTAGATGGAGACTTGGGGGAGCCAAATGGCAAAGGATATCCCCCCTGGTCCTGCTGATCCACCCCAACATGTATGCTCTCCCTCAACCCCTCTGTGAATACAGAGTGAGCTGGTTCACACAGATGTCATCAAGCTGAAGGTGGAGGGCAGCACCACGGAAGTTCCTGAGGGGCTGCAGCTACACACAGTGGGTAGGAACCCCCTTCAGGCCTGGCTAGCCATTCAGGCCCCCTGAGAGTCAGTGAGGGTGGCCCTCTCCTTCTCAACACTCTCTCCCCAATTTGTGCTGAGCCCAGACAGGAGGTAACAGGAAAGCCTGAAGCTGTCAGCTTAGCCCTTGGCCATTTGCAGACCCTTCCTATTTACACAGGTCCCTTCTGAGTTTTAAGACCCTGTTCTTGTTTATGCAGATCAGGTGCTGTTATGCAGATCCATCCCTGTTTATGCAGATCAGGGCCCTGTTTACCCAGATTCTGTCCCTGTTTACTCAATTCCCACCCTGTTTATGCAGACTATATCCCTGTTTGCACAGACCATGTCCCTGTTTGCAGACCTGGTCCCTGTTTACCCTGACCCTGACCCTGTTTAACTCAATCCTTGCCTTGTTTACCTAGGCCCCCATTCCTGTCTACAGAATTCCTGGCCCCTTTGCAGAGTTCTAACTGCCTGGGACAAACAGGCCAGAGAACCGGTTTCTGTTTGCCTGGCCTAGTCCCAGCCCTCACAGGGGCCCAGGTTCAATCTGTCCCTCACAGAGCCCTTTTGCTGAGCAGGGGCGGTGCTGGGGAGCTCCTTCTCAGGATTGAACTAAGGCTGTTCCCTCTTCTCTTAAGGCTGTGGTACTGCCTTTGACTTCCACAAAGAGATCGACTACATGTTCCTAGTGGGCACAGAGGAAGGGAAAATCTACAAGGTGAGGCATCACTGCCCATGGCAGCACCTCTCAGGGCCACTTGGACCTGAGCACCTGGGGAATTTAAAGCACTCAGCAAATCCTGTCTGACAGATTTTAGTGATGCTCATCAGTTCTGGAAGGCTTCTTGGGGGAAGACAATGCATTTCTTGATCAGCTTGGATGGGAAGAAGGACTAAATGCAAGAAAGGGGATGGAGAATCTAGAGCGTGACTTTAGTCCAGCCTAGCTTCTTTCCCTTTGGGCTTTTCCTTTCTTCCTGGGAGTGGAGCAGGGGTGGGATTGGGGGCTGGGGAAGTTGAAACATTCTGGGCAAACTTCCTGGAGGAGATCTGAATTTGAACTGGACTTTGAAGGCCAGGCAACAAGCAGATTGATCTCAGAATATCGGGTGCATCCCTGCCGGCAGGACACAACCTCACAGTTGGTGTCTGCAGTGTCTCAGTGTTAGTAGGTGAACATCCCTCTGAACCTCCATCGTCCAGAAATAGCTCCACTGCAAGCTTTTCTTAGGCTCAGAGACTCAGAATGTTAATTACAGGCAGCCTCTCGGGAGCCCCTGAGGCCCAGCCAGAGCTGGTCTGAATGCAAAAGAGGTCCCCACCCCCTCTCCACCCCTGCCGTTGGCAGCCCCAGAGAGGCAGAAGGGAAGGGGAGACCAGTTAGTCACTCTATCTCCTGGAGGGAGGGGGAGAAAGAGGATCGCAGGCTAAGGCAAGAAACTGAATGGAAAATCTGGGGATCCTGAGTCTACTCCCGGCTCTGCACCTGCTCTAATCTGTACACGGTGGGATTTTCTCACTGTTACTAGGGTAATGTCTGCTGCAGTGGACCCAGGGCTCCATCTGTCCTGTGCACAGGTCCTGGTCTGGAGAAATCCAAAGCCTGAGACCTGCTTTGTCCTGACACAGGGACAGAAGACCTTTTCTAAATGGCCTAGAGTCCCCAGGGGTCAGCCGCTAAGCAGACTACAGCACTTTCCTTCACCCTCCAGGAAGGCTCCCCTGTCCTCCTGAACCCCCAACCCCTAAGTGCTCCTTTCTCTCTGGGTGTGTGGAGGGTGGGAAGAGTAGCCAGCAGCTTGGCCCCAACAATGTGGAGTAAAGAGGAGGCTTCAGTTCTGGTCCTCCATGGCCCCTAAGGAGGCTGTGGCTGCTGGCTTTTATCTCAGTGTTGACTCCTGATCTCTCCTTACTTCCCACCAGTGCTCTAAATCCTATTCCAGCCAATTCCTCGACACCTATGATGCCCACAATATGGCAGTGGATGCTGTGACCTGGAACCCATACCACGCCAAGGTCTTCATGTCCTGCAGCTCTGACTGGACAGTGAAGATCTGGGACCACACCATCAAGTGAGGGGCCTGCCCCTGGACCTGCCCTGTCTTGGGCCCCTCCCCTGGGCTCTGGCATTATAAGCCCTGTGTCATGGAGTTCACTCCTCCACTACTGCAGGACCCCCATGTTCATCTATGACCTGAACTCAGCTGTGGGTGATGTGGCCTGGTCACCATACTCTTCCACTGTGTTTGCAGCAGTCACTACAGATGGAAAGGTGAGTGGCCCCTTCCTGACTCTGCTGAGCCCCTACTGAAGATCAGGTGAAGTATATCAGGGTCTCCCTCCTGGAGAGCCCACTCCATGCCCAGGTCAGTAGGGAAAAGTGGGACATAAGGACTGTGCATTCTCAAGGGCCAAGGCATCCAAGGTCTAGCCAAAAAAAAAGACTCATTCATCATAGGAGACCTCAAGGAGGGAATGGGGCTGTTTATCAGAGGAGATGAGATGATGCCATCAACCAATTCTCTTCTCTTGAGTTCCCTGGGGAGGGAGCTAGAGGGTTGCAGGGGCCAGCTCTAGCTAAAGAAAAATTTATGAGCCAGAACTGATCTGTGACTGAAATAGTGTCTATAAGTAGAGAGTCCCCTCTCTCTGGAAATGTGCAAGCTGATGCTAAGAAGAGGCTTCAGTGGGGCAAAATGGGAGGGGTCTATTCAATATTGAGAATTAGCAAAAGCTCAGAAACATTTTGTGAGCACAACCTCTTTTCCTTACAGATTTTGATATAAACTAAAAGAAATGCTGCCCCCACGGAAAGAATATAGTGATTAAGGCATCACCCTAAAGTTAGTTCATCATCTATATCCTGAGCAGATGTTTACTAAGGGCCAACTCTGGTGCCCAACTGTAGGCTAGACCTAGTGATTCAGGCACTTGCCCTTATGGAGCTTACATTCTAGTGAAAGGAAAGAGACAAAAAGCAACATCACCAAAAATTTCCATAATGTTAAGGGCAGAGAATTAAAATCAGGGGGCTAGAGGGTAATGTGCTAACAAATGTTTATAACAACATTATTTGTAATAACCAAAGAATGAAATAAGCCAGCATTCATCAGCTGATGAATGGATAAACCAAAATCTACTGTATGTGTGAAAGAATTATTCTTCCGTAACACCAAGGAATGACATACTCAGACATACATCATGGAAGAACCTCGAAAACGCTAAGTAAAATAAGCCAGACACAAAAGGACAAATATTTTATGTTTTCATTTATATGATATGCCCATAATAGATTTGCCTAGTATATTCAAAATAGGTAAATCTATAGAAATGGAAAGTAGACTTGTGGTTACCCAGGATTGGGGAGTTAGGGAAAATTGGGAGTGACTGCTCCTAGGTACAAAAGTTTTTTGGGGGGTGATGAAAACATTCCAAAAATCAGTTGTGATGATGGTTATATAACTGTGAATATACTAAAAACCAAGAATTGCATATTTTAAATGAATGAATTTTATAGTATGTGAATTATATATCAATAAAGCTGTTATAATAAAAAGAGAGAAGAAAAGGATTGTATGGTTTCTTGAGTGATCAGGAAAGGCTTCTTGGAAGAGGTGATATTCAGGCAGAGAGCTGAATGACAAGGAGCCAACTGAATGACAAGATGGGTTGAATGATAAGACAGGGTGGGGAAACCATCACCCTAAGCAAATGCTGGCACAAACCCTAAGGTAGGAATGAGCTGAGGGGTTTCAAGGACAGGGAGGCAAGTGAGGCTGGTGTGTAGTGAGTAAAGCAGGGAGAGCCCAGTGAGAGTGAGGTGGGGGCTAGAGAAAGGGATCTGGATTTTATTTATAGTGCCAAGGAGACTCTGGAAAGATTTTAAATTTTTTAAAGGGAAGTCTGGCTGCTGCATGGAGGATGGATTATAGAAGGGCAAGAATTTTAAAGGAGGGGGCCAGTTAGGAGACTGCCACAGTTGTTTAGGCAGGAATTGATAGTGGGTTGGTCTTAGGTTGTGGCAAAGATAACATCAAACATTTATTGGACACCTGTATGTCAAGCACCATCTGAGCATTTGACATCTGTAACTGGTATATAAACCCTGGCTCTGCCACTCACTAGTAAGTTAGCCTCTAAAAGCTTCTAACACCTCATTTATAAAATATGGATAACAGAACCACCTTATAGCGTGGCTGTGAGAAGCACAATTAGATGTTGCAGCCTTGCGACATGTGTGCCGAGTCTGATAAATGGTAGCTGCTATTCTTATTTTTTTACTTTTTATTTTTTTTGTAGTTATAGATGGATGTCATGCCTTTATTTTATTTGTTTGCTTTTATGTGGTGCTAAGGATTGAACCCAGTGCCTCACGCTAGGCAAGCGCTCTGCCACTGAGCCACAGCCCCAGACCAGTAGCTGCTATTATTGTTGATTCTGTATAGACTTAAAATTTCTTCTAATTTTTTTAAAATTCTCACTCCCTTAACCACAAAAAAAAACATAAATAAAGAATAAAATTCCCTCTCTCACTGCCTCCAGCTCTAGTATGCTAACCATTAGCCTTCTGTAGTCTCCCCAGAAATTTCAGGGCTAGTTCCTGTGAGGTGAGGGACAAGAGCCTTATCACTCCTGAGTGTGCTGACACCAGCCCCTCCACAGGCCCATGTGTTTGACTTGGCTGTCAACAAGTATGAGGCCATCTGTAACCAGCCGGTGGTGGCCAAAAAGAAGAACAAGATCACCCACGTGCAGTTCAACCCCATCTATCCCATCATCATCATTGGCGATGACCGTGGGCATGTTACCTGTCTTAAGCTCTCACCCAACTTGCGCAAGATGCCAAAGGTAGGGGCTCTGGGAGTTTGGGCTGCTACAAGAGATGAGGATAGTGGGGAGGAGCCAAAGGAGAGTAGCCACCAGTGACCCTAGGTTTCTGGCTTGAAGGACCCCAGGATAAGGATGGTCCCATTGCATGAATGAGGCACAGGGGAGGAGAATTGGTTATGAGGAAACAGGTCGGTTTTGACCTACTGCATCTGAGCTCCCTGTTGGGCCAGGTGGAGATACACGTTGGCTTGAGCCTAGGGCTTGAGTGAGGGCATCCCTGGGCATCCTTTACTGGGATGCTGTGGATGTGACAGGTCACCAAGGCAGGGAACTGGAGGTTTAGCCAGTGCTTCATAGCTGGGCTTACACAGAGCTTCAGCTCCAGTGTCCCTCAGCTGGAAGCTGTGGGTCTAAACAGGGAAGGAGGAAATGAGCCAGGAGGAGGGTAACTAGGTCAGCAGCTATGCAGTCCTCCTTTTTAGCTCTGGTTTCTTTTTCTGGGGTCTCTAATGGTCAGGAGCCACTGCCCAGAACCCAAGAGCCACAAATATAGGCCATGGGGCCCAGAGCCATGACCTAAAAGTCTAAACTGAGTCCAAATTTAGACTTAAGAACCCAGACTTTTGCCCCAGGCCTTAAAGTCCAGAGCCCTAGGACCCAACTTAAAAATTCAGAGCCCAAGAACCCAGAGCCCAGTCCTGCCCATTCATGTACAGAGTGGAGATGGCTCTTTGCTTTCTTCCAGGTTCTGGGCTAGAGTTAGGGTTGAATCAAGTTGCCCTGATTAATGTACCTGTTGGTTGCAACCTGAGGCCTTTACTGCAGTTTGAGGCAGAAGCAGAGACTCTCAGCCACTGGACTTCTTCCCTCTGCCTCTACCCAGACAGGGTCCACTGTACCATCCCTCTGGCACTGGCTTGGTCTATTCCCCACCATGGCCAGGGAGGCAAGGGCTGAGTGTGGCCTGGCCTGTAATTGTAGCCAGCTGGGGGAGGGGGTGGACTTGGCTATAAATACTCTGAAGGCTGCTAAGCGCCTGCAGCTGTGGCCCAGAGGCTGTGGTGGGCTTTTGGGGGTGGGGGGAGTCGGGCGTGGTCTGAATCTCTTTGTTGAGCCCAGCTAGTTGGCCTCGGGAGGGGGAAGGAGGGAAGAAGGCAGCACAATTTGTGGAACAGACACAATCTGTTCTTAATTTAATGAGGAGAGAGGGGAAGGTTTAAGCTGGCAGAGCTGGACAGCCCTCTGGGAGAATGATGGTCACCCTTTGGGGGAGAAGCACAGCAATGACACCATGAGAATGGTAGATATGCTCTGATCTGGGGAGGCAAGAATCTCGCACAGGTAAATATGCTCTACCTGCTCTGATCCGGGGAGGCAAGAATCTCCCACAGTTCCAATTTCCCACAGAATAAGGATCAGTCATGATTGTGAGAGCTGGGATCTGTGTATTTGGAAACTCATCTCTGAGGACCTGAGCAGGGGACAGTGGGTGCTGGTATTGGTTGAGTTAGAGATTCCTGTGATCCTATCAGCAGTCAAGAGATTTATACAAAAGGAAGTCCTGTGGGCATCCTTACTGCCCCTCCACTGTGAAATGCAGACTCTCTACCCTTCCCAAGAGGTCTTTACCACAGAAGCTCAGGCTTCTCTGCACAGGGAGCTTCCTGTGATTGCTGTCAGAGGTCAAGGACTATCTTACCTCAACTACTGTATAGATGGTAAACTGAAGGCCAGAAAAGCAAGGGACTTGCCCAAAGTCATAAAGGGTGTTAATGACAGAATTGGAATAAAAAACCAGGTTCCCTAAATCCCAGGGGATGGGGTGAGGCCAAGAAGAGAACAAGAACTTAATTTGGGAGGGAGAGTAGGAAGAGAGATTTCTTTGTCACCTGCCTCAAGAGTATAGAGGTGAGGTGGGTAATGGCAAAGGCATCAGGCTGTAAGGGGCTGGGGAGACAGATTTGGGAACAGCTGCAAGGGTCAAACCAAGAGGAAATTTGAGCTCTGCGTGGTGTCAGCAGCAGGGATGGGCCAAGTAAGGGGCCTACTGCCCCTATACTCTACTCCTACCTTAAAGCCCAGGCCACATCCAGGTTGGGCCTCAGCAGGCAAAGCTGGGGCATGTGCCAGTGAGTAGTGGCACAGGTGGCTAAGAGGGTAGGGGTCCAGGAACAGAGGGAAGGCAGGAAATGGCAGCTGCCCAGCCTGCCCCAGCATAGCCCACATCCCACTGTCTGGAAAGTAGGGAAAATGTAACTGGTATGATCTGCCAAAGAGTTCTTGGGGTCTTCAAGCAACACATACCCCAATGTCCCAACTCCCTTTTTCTCAGGGCCCAACTTACCATTGGAAGCATTATGTGCTCTGTGGTGGGTGCAGGAAGGGGACGACAACAGTCATAAGCTCAGGATCTTCTCTTTTGAGGGACAGTCCCAGTCAATGACATCTGGAGTCACATGGGATATGCCACCTGCCCTCAGGGTCTCCTGATAACTCTCTCTCACCCTGGGTATATCTGACACAGTAGGTCTGGCTCCAAATGACACCCTACCCTCAACCAGACCTAAAAGTATTGACTTAGAGCATTAGATGAGGACACCTGTGGGCTTGTCCTCTTCCCTCTCCCTACTAAACCCATACCTATTTTTTTTTTAGTTTTCGGTGGATACAACATCTTTATTTTATTTGTATGTGGTGCCGAGGATCGAACCCAGCACCCCGCGCATGCCAGGCAAGCATGCTACCACTTAAGCCACATCCCCAGCCCAACACATACCTATTATATCCTTAAAAGGTTTGTCTTTCCTGTGGAAAGTGTGGTTCCAACAGTCAGAACCTCCTCCCTGGAGTTAAAGATCTCCTTGGTCTTTCTCCCATTTCTGCCAGCTTCAAACTCAAGAGAATTCTAGCTGAGATTCAGAGTCAGAACCAATGCCTTCTTATAGGCCCTCAGCTGGGCCTATGGGTCACTTAACCTGAGTCGGGGAAGGCTCATGTGGGAGTTGGGGACAGTGGAAATCTAGAATTTACTGGGCAGAGGAGGAGTAGGGCATTGCTGCGGCAGGTTGGACAAAGGAGTCACCCAGAGAGAGACAACTCATTTCTCACCATTCTTCCCACATGGATGTATCCCCTTTCCCCAGGAAAAGAAGGGCCAGGAAGTGCAGAAGGGTCCAGCTGTGGAGATCGCAAAATTGGATAAACTGCTGAACCTGGTGAGAGAAGTGAAAACCTAAGGGCCTAGTCTCAATCCCTGACCCATTTCTTGCAATCCTTGGGCTGGGTACCAGGGTGCCTATGCACCCAGCATATATGATTCTGCCCCTGATCGGGTCTCAGTATTTGCCGTTCTCATTCTGCTTCTGAAGGTCCTAGCACATTACTTAGGATTTGACCCTTAACCACCATGACCCTCCTCTTACTGTGCAAAAATAAATCTGTCTGGAAGTTCATCCCATGCCTTTAATTTTGCTACCACAGGGCCCCCAGGAAGAGAAGAATCTCAAAGTAGAGCCATAGTTCCATTTATTATCCAGCAAACAGTGGGAGGACCAGGGGAGGAGCCCACCCTGGACACCCTCCCATTATTGCCATGGGTTCCAATTTGCTTTCCCAACCTAGAGGGCCCAAAGGTGCTGAGCCTAGCGAAAGGGTAAATCCAGCCCTTGGCCCTTGGGATGGAGCAGAGTTCAGATGGCCCTGGCCCTAGCACCAACTCCTGAACCCCCACCCCAGGCCTGTCTCTCTAGGGCCACCAGAGCCTCTCTTGGAGCCAGGCTGGCTAGACTCTGGGCTTCTGGGTCCAGCTGTAAACAAGCTGAACTCCAAGTTCTGGACCCCAGGCTGGCTGAACTCTGGAATCCTGATTCCAGGATCTGAGTGGGGTAGACTTAGGTCCCAGGCTCCAGGGTAGGTCAAGGGCCTTCAGGGCTGCAGCAGGTAGCTGCCTTCATGGCTAGGCTTCTGGGGTGGTGGTGCCTTCTCAGGACAGGGGCCAGGGCTGGAATTAGGACTAGATTCAGAAAGAGAATCAACGTCGGCAGAACGAGAGTGGCAGGCCCAGCAGAGAATGACCCAAAGCAGCAGCAGCAAGAAGCCTACGAGGCCGTTGCAGACGATGGCGATGAGGGCCCCCTGGGAGATGGCTGCCCCCATGACGGGCAGTACCCTCAAATCAGTACAGACAGCGGAGCTGCCTCAATGGCAAGGCCCATGCCGAGGAGGAACTCCAATACGGCCGCTTTCCAAGGAGGCTCCCTCAGTGATTCCTGGGCAGTGGAGATGCCCACCTGCAGTCCTGAGCCTGGGGGCATAGAGCAAATAAGAGGGTGATGAGGAAGGAGAGGTGGGAGAGGCCCAGGCCAAGAGCTCCCCTCCCACATCTCTGACCTCCCTGGCAGAAAACCTTGGGTCCCACAAGGCTCAAAGACCTCACAGAGCCAACACCCCCATCCTCAGGCCTGGCTCTGGGCACCTGGATGCTGGTGTAGCCAGAGTGGGGAAGCTGGAGTAGGCATACCTCATTCTAAGAGGTGGTAGACACTGACTGGCCCTTCCCACCAAGCTTCCAGCCCTCAAAGGTATCCCACCAGTGGATGGGACTAAGAGTCCTAGGCCCAGAATGAAGGGGACTGTGACCAGCTTTAGTGTGGTCAGGGCACCTCCTCTCAAGACTGCAGCCAGCCAGCCCAGGAGACCTGCAGAGGCGCCAGCTCACACAGAGGGAACTTTGTGGAGGCCCTGGCAGGCATGTGTGGGTTCTGTGTCTCCAAGGTTTTGTACCTAGGTGTGCCTCTCCATGGGACTTGTCTCTTTATGTCAGGTGTGTGGTTTTCCTACAGTTCCCCTGCTAGATAGGTGTCTCTCCTCTGCATACCTATATCTGGGATTGTGTGTGGCTGCCTGTCTCTGGGTAGCTCTCTTCACATCGGTGTGTCCCCATCTCTGAATGTCTGAGTGTCTCGTTTCTCTCCCAATCTGTTTCTGAGTATCTCTCTATCAGTCCCTGTGTGTGCCACTCTCTCTTCCCGGCTGTATCCCTCTGTCCTCGTGAACGTGTCTCTTTCCCTTCTTCGTGGGATCTGTCTTGGTGGTCTGTGCGTCTCCCGTGTCTCTCTCTTTGTGTCTGTGTCTCTCCTAGGGGCTGTGTCTCTTCCTCTCAGTCTCGGTTCTCTGCCCCGGGGCCCGCTGCGGGGGAGCCCCCCTTACCTGAGTTGAGCCCGGTGCGCGCCCGCGGGAGAGTCCGGGGCAGCGGGATGCTCAGCGCAGATTGAGGCTCGGGAGCCTGCGGGCGGGGGGCGGCGGGCGGCTGGCAGGGACGACGTCCACTCCCCCGGCCCTCCCCCTTGGCCGCGCAGCCTCCGCCGGCCGCTCCCGCCGCGGCGCGACCGGGGCGGCCTCTGCCGCGGGCGGTCTGCGGCGAGCCGGCACCTCCTCCCCCTGGGGCGGCGCCTCCTCCGCGGCCCCGGCCGCTAGCTTGCTCGCTCGGCGGCGCTCGGGCGGCGGCAGCGGGAGCTGCGCGGAGTTCGGCTGGGCTCGGCTGCGTTCGGCTGGGCTCGGTTTCGGCCGGCTGAAGTCGGCTAAGCTCGGCCGAGCTCGGCCGGCAGCAAAAACAGCGAAGGACCCCGCCTCCTGGGTGGCCGGCGGTCGGCAGCCCGCCGGGGGCGGAATCATCTCCACTCCGCTGCCGACGTTCAATTGGCTGGCTTCACCAAGTTCCAGCGCCATTGGTCGTGCGCTAGGGTGGGACAGGACCGCCCCTGGTGCAGGCGGGAGGGGCGGGAGGCGGCAGGAGGGCTGAATGGGCTGCTTGGTCTTGATCTGGCCTGGAGAGGGTGTAGGGTCGGGGCGTGGTCCACCTTCTAGCAGGGATTTCTTGCACCTTCCACATCTGGAAGAGCAACATCTGAGAAAGGCCAAGGCCTCTACATGCCCTACACCAGAGGAGACGTGCCCCACCAACCACTGGGGAGAAGTCTGACCCTGTCATCCAGAAGGCCCTATGTCTCCACACCTGGGAGGACAGTGATCTAGGAGGCCCACTATGATACTACCCATACTCCCGCCCGAGTGTGGACCCTGCATCCTCAGTATAGAGTATTTGTACTTGGCCCTGCATTTGGTGGTCCTAGGAGGTGATGTGAAGATCTCTGGAAACACAGGTTCTTTGGATGCATTTACTGAGTTCCCAGCCAGGGTTGGTCTCAGGCTTATACTTTGCTGTGCTGTGAGGGAATCTAGGACAGAGGGGAGGGGAGTACCTAAAGAATTGCTTTGTCCTGGCTGGAATACTTTCAGGCCTGATGGAAGTCCTGACTCTCCATCTTAGAAGGTCTCTTAAGAGGAAAGATAACTTGGACGAAGCAGCTAGGGAGACCTTCTTCTCCCAGTTCCTCACATGCCAGAGGTTATTATTTTTGGTGCTGGTGCTGGGGGCATATACTCTACTATTGAGCACCCTCTCCTACCTCGGTGATTCTTAAGTGTTCTGATCTGGGCTCTCTTCTCATCTCACATATTCTTCGTGGGCAATCACATCCCTGAAGCTATATCTGGAATTCTAAACTCACAAACAAGTATCTACTGGAATCAGGTGCTGTTAATCCCTGGTTCTGCCACTTACTAACTTTGTGACCTTGGACAAGTTCCTTAACCTCAGCTTCCTTGTCTATAAAATGGTTATAGTGGTAGCTACCTCTCGGGGTTGTTTTTCACTAATTAATTTATACCGAACCAGCCACTTCTCAGCAAATGTCAGCTGATGTAACCCCCAACAACCAGGTGGCTAAAAGCTCCCTTTCTCCAGTGCCATGAAATTCACATAAGACCCCAACAAATTCAGGTACTGTCCTGAAGAGGAGAAAGGGAAGAACAAAATAGTGAAATACTGAGCCATTCAATGCTACTGAGCTAAAGACTGTCTAAAATAAATTTTGGACCCTATGGAGTTTACCAGAATGGATTAATTTTAGTTTTCTCCCCTGTTACCCAGCAGGGTAAGAGCATTGTGAGGAAGATCAGATCAGTTACAGGAGAGAGAGGAGACATATCATTGTACATCTGAGTGTAATGTGAGTGAAGTTAGTGACCCAGCTGCAGGAGTTCACATTTTATCCTGAAAACCATGGGAAACCACTGAAGAATTTTGAGCAGAAGAGTAATGTGATCATATCCAGAAATTAGAAAGATGATTTGAGCTGCTGGATGGAAAGGGGTGTCAAAAGCCTTTGAGGGTGAAGGCAAGGAGTAAAAATGAGGGGCTGAAATGATGGGAATAGAAGTGAAGAGGTCACGAGAACATTAAAGATATTTGGGAACTATAGATGGCAGAACTTAAGAGACTTAGAGAGTAAGGGAGGAAAGAGGGAAGGAAAAGTCCTAGATAACTCTGGTTAGTGGCTGCAGATACTGGAATGCCATTTACTGTGAAGAAGAAGCAGTGAATTTCAGCAAGGGACTTGGCGGGGGTAGGGGAGGTGTTGATGAGTTCAGTTTTGGAGACTGGTGGTAGTGGTATCTGCTACTGCTGCTTATTTTTGGATGTAGTTTACAAATTCCTCAAAGTACTATGATAGGCTCATGTTAGTTAGATATTTAACTTTGGACCAATCAAGGGATGATAACCAAATGACTTACATAGCTCTCATGATAACCCTGTGGACAGTGGGGGTGGGGTGGATTCCAGGAGAAGAGGGATCATGAATAAGCAAAATGGCAGGTGTTCACTAGGGTCCAGCCTTTGTTTGCCCAACACATACACATCATTTACTGTATATATGATTCCAAAAATGTCCCCAACTATTGTTGTTATAGATTAAATCTGGAATGTCCTCTCATGTATTGAAGGTCCTCTCATACGTCTCATATATTAAAGATTTGAACCCCAGCTTGGTGCTGTAGGGAGTTGGGGCATGCCTGTGAAGGGAATTGTGGACTCTGGTCTCTTCTTCTTTCTCTCATCCTGGCCCTGAAATGAGTGGCTTTGCTTTACCATGCACTGCCTGCCAATTGTGCTTGCCTCATCACAGGACCAAAAGCAACCAGGCCAACAGATCATGGACTGAAAGCTCCAAAACTGTGAGCCAAAACAAAGCTTTTCTCTTTATAAGTTAATTATCTCAGGTATTTGTTACAGTAATGGAAAGCTGACTGACACATCTACATAATCTAACCATCCCCCTGTATGTATGCCAATAAATTCACCCTGTTTCCAATGAGGGGCAACTCAGTGACACAT